AGTTTTCGAAAGAATTTTTTTTCATTTTTTCATCCTTGGCATATATTCATAACCACTGCATGTTTAATTTGGTCAAATCCCTTTGTCAGAAAGTGCCCACAGTGCAGAGAGTTTCTGGACTTTTTTTGTGAGTCCAGTTTAAATTAAATATGCATCTAACAAAGGACGGAGTGTGTTACAACGTTTAGGGATATACTCCAGTGTCAGATATTGAAACACAAGACGAATCAGGCTGCATGAATTCCACTCGTGATCAAAAGCAGTGGTTGTAACATTCCACTGACGTATATCGACATTCTATTGTTTCACTCTTTACTGTCTGTGTTGGAACTGGAATACTGCTGACTTTATCGTAAACCAGCAAGCGCTCGCTCATCCATCTCGCACGCATTCGTGCGTGTGTGTGTGTGCGTGCGTGCGTGTGTATGTGTGCGCGCGCGCGTGTGTGCATCTGGCAACGAAATTTGCATTTTACAGTGTGTTTGTGGCATGAAAAGGACGCAAGAAAAAAACACATTTTAAATGCATCATAAATGAAACTTTAAGTCGACTGTTTCAGTGTTTCAATGAAAAGGGGTGAAAATCTTAGCGTGGCGTCAATTTCAGCCATATGTTGACGAGATAAAGGGACACATTGACAACACAACAATTTGACTGTAAAATCACGTGGCTGAATACACTTTTCAAGATCTTTAAATTTTAGTTGAAACCGTTGCCCATGTTAAGGGGATCAATAAAATATAAAAACGGGCTTCAGATTTAACATGGGCAATGTTTAGCTTCAGATTTAACATGGGCCAAGTTTGGCCATCCTACCGAACGAGTGGGTGAGTGAGTTTGGTTTTACGCCGCTTTTAGCAATATTCCAGCAATATCACGGCGGGGGACACCAGAAATGGGCTTCACACATTGTACCCATGTGGGAAACCGAACCCGGGTCTTCGGCGTGACGAGCGAACGCTTTAACCACTGGAGTACCACCCACCTACCCCTACCTCAACCTCGAACCGTACCGATTATGAAGCCTTGATCTTTCAGCATCACGCCCTTATTCATCGGCTTCATCAAAATGATAACCCCTACAATCTGTGATACATCTCTATTTCACATAGCTAGATGGTATGTAAACGTGGGCTAATCAGCCGATAACACATTACCTCGATAATCTGCTTTATGGCATGATTCATTTTATACATGCAATAGTTTTCTTTTACATTTTTCACTTTTACAGAATGTTCTTTCAATGAGATTGTTTCAAAACGAGGATCTGTATTGTCATATTTGTTAAGTTAACCTGCCACTGGTAACATTTGCATTTACTAGGTCACGCCGATCCAGGTGTTAGTATGTCACGGTATCGGTATCATTACTGAATGACACATAATGGTTCCAATCTATTTAGGGCTCTGATCAAACACCGCCAGTGTACGGATGAACCCCACGAAGGTCATAGCGACACGGAACAGACAAGGTATGTATGTCAGACAGTCAGTGTGTCTATAGGTCAATGTGTCAACCGACACGCCTTAACACGTCATCTCGGAATGACAATGCCCTCATTTCTATTTTTACTTTTGTTACTTCATGACTAAGGTTCGGGTTGGAAAAGGCAAAGTTCATCGTTCATTGCTCACGCGGTTTTACACAGGTTACACTTATAAAGAATATCTTTGAATTTGATTGTTACTTGAGGAATATTCTTAGATAAGTAGGCACCTTTACACGCTAGCTTAGATATTGAATTTACTTTCATTCATCTATTCGCCTGTTTGACTATATGTTATCGAACCCTTTGATAAACCTTAATAAAACACTTTGAGAAAACCTTAATAAAACACTTTGAGGAAACCTTGATAAAACCCTTTGATAACACCGTTTCATACAGCCATGTGTAAAAACCTTGGAGTCAACTTTGTGTGCAGACTCTTTCCGTGTTGTCACAACCCCTAGTGTACAGTACACAACCCTGTGCACTTCAAAGAACCCACGAATCCGTTGGTATGTGACCAGATGGTGGCCACATGAATACGTGCAAACACCTAGTTGTGGGTACAGCAACGTGCAGTATTGGACAAAGTACTGTGACTATGTGTCCCAGTCCACCCAGCTGTGAATGGGTACCTCGTACTAATTGGAAAGCCCCAATAACCCGGTGCGCCTTGTAGCAGCAAGAGTTGCATAATCCCCAGGGATTTGAGATTGATAATAAGATGTGCCGTTGGGATTGACATCCAATGATCGAAGGGAAAATACCAGCGCCTTGAGCATGCACTAGTGCGCGGATATGTGCGCTATACAAATATCCAATAATAATAATAAATAATAATAAAAAACACTTACCAGGTTTCACGTTTCATTAAAACCCCGCGCTGTCTTATATCGTGATATGAGGATCTTTTTGTCAACTATATCTCAGTTATATCATAACATATTAAGTTCAAACAACAGATTGCAGATATGATTGACATGAGACAAGCTTACAAACCAAGTATACACTTTATTATCTCATAGCTTCGAACTATTCTAACATTCTCATTGTGTCACTTGAAATGCAATCAATACGCAGCATTTTCACTTTCCGCTTCATATCAGATATCATGTTAGGTATTTAATAAGATCTGATCGTAATAACCGCAGACACCCCACCTGAAAACTAATGTCAAATACTAAACCACTAGGCTACATGGATTCCACTCGTGATTAGAAGCAGGTGGATCACATCATTACTGAAAGACACATAATGATTCCAATCTATTTCTGGCTCTGAGCAAACACCGCCAGTGTACGTATGAACCCCACGAAGGTCATAATGACCCGGAACAGACAAGGTATGTGTGTCAGTGTGTCTATAGGTCAAAGTGTCAACCGACACGCCTTGCCACGTTATCTCTGAATGACATTGTCCTCATTCTTTTTTTACTCCTATTACTTCACATTATGACTTAGGTTCGGGTTAGAAAAAACAAAGTTCATCGCTCATTTCTTACCGGTTTTACACAGGTTCGACTTGAAATGAATGTTGTTTAACTTTGACTGTTGCATGGGGAATATTCTTAGATAAGTGAGTGAGTGAGTGAGTGAGTTAGTTTAGTTTTACCCCCGCAATCAGGAATTTTCCAGCTATATGGCGGCGGTCTGGACCAGACAATCCAGTGATCAACAGCATGAGCATCGATCTGCGCAATTGGGAACCGATGACAAGTGTCAACCAAGTCAGCGAGCCTGACCGCCCGATCACGTTAGTCGCCTCTTAAGACTCTTAGATAAGTAGGTACCTTAACACGCTAGCTCAGATATTGAATGTACTTGCATTCATCTATTTGTCTGCTTGACTATATGTTACCAAACTGAGTTTGATAAAACACTTATCAAGTTTCACGTTTCATTAACGCGCTGTCATCTATCTTTATGAAGAAGTGAAGTGTATGTATTTATCACCGATACTTTATCCTACAATAGACAGCTTATCGATTATATTCTCAAACAAACCCGGAGTTATAATTCATTTGTTTGGTTATTGCGTTTGATCCTGGGCGATAACTCCCATTGAGTTTAAACATGGAGATACAATACCGTAGCGTGAGTGAATGAATACCAGGCAATACCTTGTACATTAGCTGTATCAGAGGGAGGCAGTTTAGACGTGGTGGAATGGTTGTTACAATCCAAGAATCACAACCAACAGTTTAAACATGGAGATACAATACCGTGGCGTGAGTCAATGAATACCTGGCAATGCCTTGTACATTAGCTATATCAGAGGGAGGTTTAGATGTGGTGGAATGGTTGTTACAATCCAAGAATCACAACCAACAGTTTCAACATGGAGATACAATACCGTGGCGGGAGTCAATGAATACCTGGCAATACCTTGTACATTAGCTATATCAGAAGGGGGCGGTTTAGATGTGGTAGAATGGTTGTTACAATCCAAGAATCACAACCAAAGTCAATATGGGATTGTAACCAAATATCACACATACTTAGATGTCAGACAGCGTATGTGTCGCTGCTGATGGCGGTGGAGGTGGTGGAGGTGTGGTTGTAGACAACATCGAATAGTTATGGTGGTGTTAAACTGCCTTGGAAATATATCGTGACACCTTAATGTCAACTGTGCCTTAATTATATGGTGACATCCTAATATTTGTCAGCTATATCCCAGTTATATCATGACACGTAACGTCAAACTATATATCAGTTACATCATGACACATTAATGTTAACTATATATCAGTTATATCATGACACATTAATGTTAACTATATCTCAGTTGTATCATGACACATTAATATTAACTATATCTCAGTTGTATCATGACACATTAATGTTAACTATATCTCAGTTATATCATGACACATTAATATTAACTATATCTCAGTTATATCATGACACGTAACGTCTAACTATATATCAGTTACATCATGACACATTAATGTTAACTATATCTCAGTTATATCATGACACATTAATATTAACTATATCTCAGTTGTATCATGACACATTAATATTAACTATATCTCAGTTGTATCATGACACATTAATGTTAACACATTAATGACACATTAATATTAACTATATCTCAGTTGACACATTAATATTAACTATATCTCAGTTGTATCATGACACATTAATGCCAACTATATATCAGTTGTATCATGACACATTAATGCCAACTATATCTCAGTTGTATCATGACACATTAATGCCAACTATATCTCAGTTGTATCATGACACATTAATGTCAACTATATCTCAGTTGTATCATGACACATGAATGTCAACTATATCTCAGTTGTATCATGACACATTAATGCCAACTATATCTCAGTTGTATCATGACACATTAATGTCAACTATATCTCAGTTGTATCATGACACATTAATGTCAGCTATATCTCCTTTATATCATGACACATTTAACGTCTACTATATCTAAGTTTCATCTTGGCATCTTAGTTCAAACAACAGATTGCAGATATGATTGACAAAAGACAAGCTTGCAAACGAAGCATACTTTTTATTATCTCATAGTCTTGAACTGTTCTTATACATTTCACTTCAAATGTAATCAGTACGTATCAATTTCACTTTACACTTCATATCAGATATCATGTTAGGTATTTAATAAGATGTGATCGTAATAACCAGCCACAAACACCTCACCTAACACAAGAATAATGGCTTGGTTTATAGAAACAGTAACGGAGAAAACGTCGTCATGACATGAAAAATGGTAAAAATCACATGAAAGAATAATATTCCATGCCCTATTCATTCAGATTTTCAACGGTGGAGTAATTAAGATCCCAAATTCAAATCCTCCACACAATATACTAGTAACTAATTAATCACATATAAATATTCAATGGTGGTAAACAACGTAAGCTAACGTGATTTTTTAACACATAAGATATAAAGATGTTTTCGTGGGACAAGAATAAAACTGAGTAATGGGAAATGGGAAAAATATACCGTGTATGTTTTATAAATATGAATTAAAACTTGAGTTTCATATTTGGTGAAAATATCAACACGAATGAAAGATGGGGAACACTTAGCTTCTGACTGATCTGTAGATATATTGAGACATATTTCATAGGGAAATTATTATTATCCTACAGCCTTGCCTTCCCTGCAATGCTAAAGCCTTAAATAAAGCAAGTCTAGATTTCCCCAGGTTCTCTGGTCTCCCTGGGGCTCCTTTTTCAATTGAAATGGGTTTATCTGTTACAGTCAAAAATATATATATTCAGAGACTAAGCGTTAGTCTACATATATTCATAAAACCAATATAACTGTACAAAAATCCCATACATTACACAAATATAAATAATGGATTGCAACAAGCTAAAATATACAACTTCCAAAAATACATACACATAGTGCATCGTGGGGACAACAAACAAATATACTGCGTTTGTTAAAGATACAATCCAGTGTTACGTTGAAGCGTTTTAACAAAATAAGGGTTAAAATGGTGTGTCCATGTAAATAGCGAGCCAATGAGGCGAGCGAAAACATATGACGTCATTCCAAAGTGTCACGGCCGCATTCGGAACTTCGGAAGGGTTCGATACGGACTTTCGCGTCATAGACTTTCATATTAAATGTCTCAGTAATATGTAATTAACCACGTCAACATGTGGGTATTATATTATAACTATTATTCTGTTTGTATTTTACGAGCACGTGTTTATAATCCGAGCAAAACTGATGATTCCAAGGTAACCTAATATAACGCTGCAGTTACGCCTATAAGATTGTGGTGAGAGAATAATCGAGTCTGGATCAGACAATCCAGTGATTGACATCATGAGCATCAATCAACACAGTAGCGACACGATGACGTACATCAACCAAGTCAGCGAGCCTGACCGTCCAGGCCATACCGCCCAATTGTGGGATAAGAATGGATTGCTGAAGACCAATTCGAAACTGGATCTTCACGGGCTAATCTCACATAGAGAGTATTATGCAAATTCATTTCAAACTCTTTTTGCTAATAAAATTAAATTGATTAGAATGATTAAATGATTAGTATGCGACTTTGCAAAGTTAAACATAGAACAAATATATAATTGTTTGAACGTTTCTCTGCGAATCCAAAATTCATGAAAACAATTACAGATCACGGAATATATTAAGAGATGGTGGTGTGACCTAATCTCTTGTGGTAAGGAAACCCAATGTGTAGTTAACGGCATATTTTGATACAAAACAAGGATGTTTCTGACAATACAACAGAATAGCCAGTGTAGCTACACTACACAGCTCAACACAGCGTCTTGGGTGCGGTGGAGTGTGTACCCGGGCCGTCCACCTCTGTGTAAGGAATGCAGATCTCTGGGTGGCCCATTTCAACCCCCAGGTCTTCTGTGGGGTTCCCACTTTCAGCTTTATGTCCCTGTTGTATCATGACAAATTAATGCCAACTACATGTATATCTCAGTTGTATCATGACACATTAATGTCAACTATATCTCAGTTGTATCATGACACATTAATGTCAACTATATTCTCTGTTGTATCATGACACATTAATGTCAACTATATCTCAGTTGTATATGACACAGTTGTACTACATGACAGTTGTATTAATGTCATTAATATCATGTATATCTCAGTTGTATCATGACACATTAATGTCAACTATATCTCAGTTGTATCATGACACATTAATGCCAACTATATTCCTGTTGTATCATGACACATTAATGTCAACTACATGTATATCTCAGTTGTATCATGGCACATTAATGTCAACTACATGTATATCTGAGTTGTATCATGACACATTAATGTCAACTATATCTGAGTTGTATCATGACACATTATTATCAACTATATCTCAGTTGTATCATGACACATTAATGTTAACTATATCTCAGTTGTATCATGACACATTAATGCCAACTACATGTATATCTCAGTTGTATCATGACACATTAATGTCAACTATATCTCAGTTGTATCATGACACATTAATATCAACTATATCTCAGTTGTATCATGACACATTAATGTTAACTATATCTCAGTTATATCATGACACATTAATGCTAACTATATCTCAGTTATATCATGACACATTAATGCCAACTGCATGTATATCTCAGTTGTATCATGACACATTAATGTCAACTATATCTCAGTTATATCATTGCACAATTTACGTCAACTATATCTCCTTCATGTCATGGCACATTTAACGTCTACTAAATCTAAGTTTCACCTTGGCATCTTAAGTTCAAACAACAGATTGCAGTTATGATTGACAAAAGACAAGCTTACAAACGAAGTATATACACTTTATTATCTCATAGCCTTGTACTGTTCTAATACGTTTCACTTCAAATGTAATCAGTACGTAACAATTTTTATTTTACACTTCATATCGGATATCATGTTATGTATTTAATAAGACCTGATAATAATAACCAGCCACAAACACCCCACCTAAAAACTCCCCCTTTAAAGGGGGTATTGCATCTTGCTTTTGGGCATTGAGTACCACAGAGTACAATAATACTTTTATAACAGCCCAGTTGTAACAAGGAATATCATCTTTCACACAAGGAATGTTAGTTGTATGTTTTCAAGCTGTGGTTCCTATCTCCCAACAGCGTCGTTCCGTTGTGGTATGACTGACCGGGGTATGTTTTCTGATGGGATATTTCCATATGATAATAACAGTACTTCCATACGGGGTCAGCTTTCAAAACTTCATCACACGCTATAACTAAAGGGTAAAAAATAAATATGTGGGTAGGGGACAAGAGGAATAGGACTTCACATTCTGTACAATTGTGTGGAATCAACAAGCGACAAGCGAGCGCTTCAACCACCAGTCTTCCCCAGAACTTGGGATAACAAACATCTTCGTCACAATCAACATCCACAGTTCTACCCAGTGAGGATGTGAACTGATACTGATACTAAATCACAGTGCTTTGAGGATCAACTTAATAAATACACATGCGTGACATACAACAATACAGCAACCACGTGACAAATACTGACATCGTTAGCAATGGGTTTGCATTAAGCTTCATGTCTCTAAATACAATGTGAGGTTTGATACTGTTTGTGATAATGTCCTTCACAATGAGCCTGATCCATGTACAACGTACACACCAACTCGCTCGTTCACACACACACACACACACACACACACACACACACACACACACACACACACACACACACACACACACACAGCGCGCGCGCACACACACACACACACACACACCAGCGCATACACACCACCATATTCACACGCACGCATACGAACACACACAACTGATTTGGTTTTCATTTCACCCATTGTTATATTTATTTTGTGACAAGTGTAAAACTCTTAAACACGTAAATACAAACAGTCCACAAAAATAAATATATAAGTCAGCGGAGTAGAAACATAAAAGCAGCACCATCGGAAGAATGCATCAAGGTTTTACCTCATGGCAGTGGTACAAGGGGCACTAAAGATTAGTGTGCCCCAGGTGCTGCAATACTACTCTACCCTTTCTAGCTGGAGTACATACACAGATCATACAGTAAGACATTTCATTAACCTTCGGTAATTTAATAAGGGCAACACCAGTATGTAAAGAAGTATGTTGTGTTTACCACTGGAGTGGTTGTGATTTGATTCATGGCATCTTATGCCCAGTATGGACGTCAACATGGTATCATAAAGAACACCTTATATGGTTAAACCCTGTTATCAGAACAGCACCTTCTAGTACATGACCCAATACGCAGCTCTTTTATCATGGATTTGTATAATCACTTAGCACATTGATTTGTTTGACGTTCACCCCTTTTTCGGAACAGTCACTTGTTCATGACAGATAGAAACATGTACAAGAATAATGGCGTGGTTTATAGAAACAGTAACGGAGAAAAAGTCGTCGTGACGTGAAAAATGGTGAATATCACATGAAAGAATAATATTCCATGCCCTATTCATTCAGATTTTCAACAGTGGAGTAATTAAGATCCCAAATTCAAATCCTCCATACAATATAACTAATTAATCACGTATAAATATTCAATGGTAGTAAACAACGTAAGCTAACGTGATTTTTTAGCACATAAGATATAAAGATGTTTTCGTGGGACAAGTAAAAAACTGAGTAATGGGACATGGGAAATATATACCGTGTATGTTTTAAAAATATGAATTAAAACTTGAGTTTCATATTTGGTGAAAATATCAACACGAATGAAAGATGGGGAACACTTAGCTTCTGACTGATCTGTAGATATATTGAGACATATTTCATAGGGAAATCATTATTATCCCTACAGCCTTGCCATCCCTGCAATGCTAAAGCCTTAAATAAAGCAAGTCTAGATTTCCCCAGGTTCTCTGGTCTCCCTGGGGCTCCTTTTCAATTGAAATGGGTTTATCTGTTACAGTCAAAATTATATATATATTCAGAGACTAAGCGTTAGTCTACATATTTCATAAAACCAATATAACTGTACAAAAAGTACCAACAAAAATCCAGTACATTACACAAATATATATAATGAATTGCAACAAGCTAAAATATACACTTTCCAAAAATACATACACATAGTGCATCGTGGGGACAACAAGCAAATATACATAATGTTTAACATACAAAGTTCATGTGCCCAACAAATCTCAAAGTTATATGGTACTGTCACATGTTTTCGCTCGAGAAATACTTTCGAACGCCATTTCGGAGTGAGTACAATTTTTCGCCGCGTTTAGCAATATTCCAACAGGGGGGACACCAGAAAAAGCCTCCACACACTGTACCCATGTGGGGAATCGAACCCGGATCTTCGGCGTGAATAGAGAAAGCTTTAACCAGTAGGCTACCCTACCGCCCCTTGAACTGACTTGTTTGTCAATACTAAAAATCAAGCTACAAAACATCAGGCCCAAATTTCTCGAAACAAATTTAAGTCTGAGTTTTGACTTAAGTTCGAGATTTTACTCAAATTTGAGAAAACACAGAAAATCGCATTTCCCATAATAAACTGAAATCAATATTAAACTCAAACATAGTAGACAATTTGAGTTTGGTAGATAGATTACTTAAATTGTTTGGGCTTTTTTATTTTAAAAATGCAGTTGAGTTAAAAATTCAGCTGTTTCAAATTGTCAAACTCAGTTTGAAATTTGAGTAAAAACTTAAGTTTGTTTCGAGAAATCGGGGCCAGGTTTTGATCAAATTTGATAAACAGTTTGAACAGAATAGTTGTTGTTTTTAAAATTGTGAAAGTTTAAGTGCTGTCAAAAGCCTCAGTGAGGTGTTAAAATCTGCTGTCAGAAACAAATGCTCAATGCGAGGTTCAGTCCATGTAAATAGCGAGCCTATGAGGCGAGCGAAAACATATGACGTCATTCCAAAGTGTCACAGTCGCATTCGAAAATTCGACTTTCGCGTCATAGACTTTCATATTAAATGTCTCAATAATATGTAATTAACCACGTCTTCATGTGGGTACTATAACTATTATTCTGTTTTACGAGCACGTGTTTATTATCCGAGCAAAACTGATGATTCCAAGGTAACCTGATATAACGCTGCAACTACAGCCATAAGATTGTGGTGAGAGAATAATCGAGTCTGGATCAGACAATCCAGTGATTGACATCATGAGCATCAATCAACACAGTAGCGACACGATGACGTACATCGATCAAGTCAGCGAGCCTCACCGTCCAGGCCATATTGCCCCATTATTGGACAAGAATGGATTGCTGAAGACCAATTCGAAACTGGATCTTCACGGGCTAATCTCACATAGAGAGTATTATGCAAATTCATTTCAAACTCCTTTTGCTAATAAAATTAAATTGATTAGAATGATTAAATGATATAGGTGTATAGTTGTTTGAACGTTTCTCTGCGAATCCAAAATTCATGTAAAAACATAAAGAGCAGACAACGGAATATATTATAAAATCGTGGTGTGACCTAATCTCTTGTTGTAAGGAAACCCAATGTGTAGTTAACGGCATATTTGATACAAAACAAGGATGTTTCTGACAATACAACAGAAAAGCCAGTGTTGCTTAACTACAGCTGAAGGGGTCGTTGTCGGCACGGGTACTACAGATATGTACCCAAGGTACGTTTCTGTATACAGAAACGTACCTGGGGTACGTATCTGTAGTACCTGTGACGACAACGACCCCTTCAGCTTAACTACACAGCTCAACACAGCGTCTTGGGTGCCGTGGAGTGTGTACCAGGGCCGTCCACCTCTGTGTAAGGAATGCAGATCTCTGGGTGGCCCATCTCAAGTCCCAGGTCTCTTGTGGGGTTCCCACTTTCAGCTTTAGGGAAGTTCTTTTCTTGGGCAATGGGGCCACGTGGTCCTGTGAGCGGAGCTGAAAGACAAATGATTTGTAACCTCTCGATAGTTGCTACTCCTACAGCTTGATGAAACTGTTGCACACAAACTTGCATTATGAAATAAAAACAGAAAGATTTACCAATAAGTCAATATTTATGGTAGACAACTTTCGGAGGTCGAACTTTTCAGCTTCTGGAAATTTTGTTTTGGGATGATGTCGCTTGTATTGATCTGATTTCATCCTCACTGCTGACTACAACGCGCCCTTCCTAGTCTTAACTCTACTACAACTGTATACTACAACCACAGTATCTGCTACTACAGCTAATGTAACATCTACTGCTTCTACTGCTACTGAGGTGAGGTGAGATGAAATTGGGTTTAATGTCGTGCTTGAGAATATTTAGCTCATATGACGACGTGCATGCGTATGTGCGGCTGATTGTACTAGCCGTGACTGAAGCTGGTTTTATAGTGCTAGCCCACTGAGATACCATGCCGCAGTGAAGCATGAATACCCCACTCAGACACATTATACTGACTCCGAGCCGACCAGTCCTTGTTGTACCCATTATTGCTGAGCGCCAGGCAGGGGCCAACAAGTACCATATTTTAAGGTCTTTTTGATATGACGCGATCGGGGATCGAAGCCGCGACCTTCCGCTCTCCGGGCGGACGCTCTAACCACTACACCACGGAGGCGGTCTACTACTACTACTACTACTACTACTACTACTACTACTACTGTGACTACTGCAATATGTATTATTTCTATTTCTATCTATTTCTACTGCTATTAAATTAGTACCAGTATTACTGCTACTACAACTAATGTTTTTTGCTAAGATTTCTACAACCACTGCTTATATCAATAGGTATATTTACTTCTTGAATTGATGAGCTCCCCTTCCCCCTCTTGAGAGCAAGGTAGAGATGATTTCTGTTCTTCTGGCTCTGAGGTTGGGCGACACATCTTGGCCAGATACTTCCTTTTCCACAGCAGTACCGCAATACCGGCCAGACTGATCAGAATGACAATAATTGCGATGCCGATGATAAACTCGTCACTCCGAGTGTTGTGATCGCTGTCCAACTGCTGCTCATCAGAGTGGGTACTTGTGCCTCCAGGCTCCACGGTAGTGCTGCGATTTGGGACTTCGTTGTGTGGAGCTTGTGATGTTGTACTTTCCATACGGATGAAGTACTCTGAAAAGTTTTCATTATATTGACACATTATCCATTTGATTTAACTCGAAAAAAATCAATAAAATCAAAATTGTGATCACATCTAATTTTTATCGTATCCATGTGAGCCAGAACGAAATTAAAGTCCGTTTGGAAAGAGAATTAGTAAGGTCATTGATTTAGAAACAAATGTGCTTATAGTTTATTCCTGATTATTCAAATACATAGAAGATGGGTTTACTTGGGCAATTGTGGCGACATTGTTCTGTTGTGCCCTGGATGCGGTGGTGATCACACTGCTGGTCACAGGGCGTGCACTCCCCGACCCCGGGGTCGCAGTAGAAGAAGTCCGCGCATTCGACGTCGATGCATTTCTGACTGAAAATATCCCGACGGCGCCTGTTCGACCTCCTCAAATCAGACGCTAATGTTGTACCTGAAACAAATACTGCGTGTATGTCAGATTGAAAAAAACCCGTTTCCATTTATATTCCTGGTGAAATACCTTGTACTTTGAACCTGGCATTGGGACAATATAGTCTTTTATATACCGAGCCTATCCTCAAAACGTAAGGGGCATTAAGAAATATTGTCTAGAGACATGTTGCTGTGTGTATTTGCGTAGCGTCACATTTATTAATGACATGTTGGGCTAGCCCCACAATAGATTTGGCGTTTTGTTTGACAACTGTTATAATCGGTGGCATATGTAAGGCTTGGGTTTATCTGTCATCAATCATCAATTAGAACCCACTGACATTTATAGAACACAAACCTGAACGTGTAGGGTTACACTTCTACATAAACGAAGTGAGTGAGTGAGTTTAGTTTTACGCCGCATTCAGCAATATTCCAGCTATATGGAGGCAGTCTGTAAATAATCGAGCCTGAATCAGACAACCCAGTGATTAACAGCATGAGCATCGATCTACGCAATTGGAATACGATGTCATGTGTCAACCAAGTCAGTGAACCTGACTACCCGATCCCGTTAGTGACTTACGACAAGATCAATTCCAACCCGATCTTCGTGGTAACTAATTAAATAATAGGCTATGTTATTTAATGAACATGATCACAAACAACTCAATGTAATCACTCAAATTATACAAGTTCGTTTATGATCACTTCAAAATGATGATTGGTTGGCCTCGTGCTTACAGAGCCAAACATCACAATAAACAAGTCAAATGGCCAAATTACACAAGAGGCATCACTATTCACTCAGCCAGTACGTATCACAGTCCCAGGACCATGTCTCTTCCATCCTTACTGTAATGCTACAGCCCCAAATTTCTAAATTTTCCACAGGTTCAATCACCTATCTCAATGCAATTGCATGTGACTTTCAAAGTATGTGTTTTCAGACAACGCGCTCGCCTATCCACTATCCACTATCCACTGTTGTTTCCTGCAACATATTTCTACCACAGACAGTTATTAAGACCATACATTCAGTGTATACGTGAAAACGCTAATGGTATGTATAAATACGCTTTGAAATGTGTCATGCACTTACAAGTGCGTAGTAACCTAGATTAGAAGCTTTGCTTTCGTCATGTCTCATTCGACGAATTGTATCACGGCACGTAGTAGCAACGAGGGTCATTCGGTGCATTTCGATAGCGAGGCTTGTGTCTAGTCATGTCAGTTGTTTACATCAGGGAATTCTGGGCATTCCCACTACATTGAGCAGTCAATACGTTCGACTGACATAATTGTCATTTTGCAGAGTATTTTGATTTTATATTTTATATTCAATAAAATATCAGTATTTATCGTGAATAAATTAGACAAAATATAATGTGTAAAAATGTTTACCTCTATCATTTTCTCCCAATTGTTGACAAATCTGTCACTGAACGAAAAGTGTAAATCCCGATAGCCTATAAATGATTAGTTACCATCACAACCAATAATCAACAACCTAGCGTAGTCGCCAAAATACTTGCCACCGTGCCAGAAAACGAAACGATGACGCCATTTCGTCATGTTTCACACACCAGTTTTCTAGGTCAACTTCATCCGTGGATGTTAATGGAAAATGCGGAATATACAGATTATATCATGAATGTAAAAACTTAAACGTCAGATGGCGTAATAACAAGACAATAATGGTTGACGCACTCACCCAGACATCGACTGAGACAGCCAGGATCACGTGCGAGGTCGCAGACATCAACACAGCGTACACACGTCTGAGACAGGTTATTCAAAATGTTGCCAACAGGACATTCCGCAAACACCGAGGACAGAAGGACGATGATTCCACACAAGATAAAGCAGATCCTGCTGAGATTGGTGACTTTCATGCTCAATACATACACGTTTAGCGTGCTCTGACCGCTGTTTGACAGTTGTGATAGTCATGTAAACACGAGTGATCTGAACTTGAATGAGAGTCACATGGTTTGATAACCCACGTGGTATAATACGTAATCGTGGCGGGCCGTTCAAATACCATAGTATACCTTCGGCATGGATATAACTATCAGCTATTAAGTTGAACACTCCAAGCCGGACAAACATAAAATATACGCTTTAAAAATAGAACAAAAATATATCAAGCGTTACATGGTTTAAAATAGTTGCTGGATCACTGCAAACTTAAATTCCAAAAAGCAACTTCGATATGTATGCACAAAAAAGCAATTTAGTGTGTGTTGTATATTTCGCTACCCTCAGACCTGGGTGAATACTTTCTGTGTATGCATACCTAATTAAATCAGTGTTTGTCAAAAATAGTTCTGCTGGCAATTCTACGAGCTTTCTCGCAATCTAAAATGAAATTAAGTAAAACATGGAAATTTACAAAATAATTTTATTAAAAATGTTAATTTTATAACAAGTTTGTAACAATATTTAGAATTCAAGGGAAAATGTCAACAGTTGTAAATTATAAGTGAAATACATCATATCACAAATAACGTGATATTCAACGTATTAATGCGTTTATACGTGCACGTGATGAATGAACATGACATCATACAGAAGTACTTTATGAAGTGCATGTCACCATATTCTTTGTTGACAGAGTGTATGAGACATGGAGTATTTGCAAAGCAACACGCACTCTGCAGCCAGTGAATCACTTTTCACATATGAGCAGTTAGAAAACTATCGGCGGAGTTGGGCTTTAGCTGGGAACTAGTTTTACCAGAGATGATATTCTGCAATTTTACGTCATTCCAAAATACGTCCCAAACTCGACGCTACAATATCCGTTCTGTAATTTACCTGTGTTCATAGCTACGTATTATTTAATATTATACTGGCTCTAAAAAATAGGCCTACATGTTAAGATATTGTTACTCGACGGAGAAGGAGTTACCCCAACTCACTCACTCACACACTCTCCCAACACTGGATGAATATACTCTTAACAACAGGTATGTGTTTGAACACAAGTTATGTATGAAGTAACATATGTAAGACATATTCAGCTGATATGTTCGTCTGTGCTTATATACAGAATGTAGAATATTTCAACAACATTCTTACCCATGGATAGTTTTACATTAATTACATGTACATGTGCAATGCACCCAGTAACTGTACAGTCAAGGTAATGCCATCACGCTACAAGACAATAGGTCACCATCTATCATGTAACTAATAACATCTACTTTGCAAACAACACAGACATTCAGTGAAGCACTTACACACTATGTTATTCAACGCAGGTATATCTGCACCTAAAATAGAGCATCACACTCCTCAACAAATATAGGAACATCGCAAAATCGTATAAAAGCAGGTGTGTGTATATAAAACAATAGAACTTCCACTGGTAATCATATACATATCACTTCAAGATATATACGGGGCGTTGGGGTAGCCGAATGGTTAAAGCGTCTGCTCCTCGCGCAGAAGGCCCGGGTTCGAATCCCACATGGGTACAATATGTGAACACCATTTCTGGTGTCCCGCGCCTGGTTATGTCTGGAATATTGCAAAAAGATGCGTAAAACCATACTCACTCACTCACCCACTAAAGATATATACGTTAAACCATACTCACTCACTCAAGATACATACGTAAAGTTGAGATTGTCATCCTTCAAATAAGAAAAACGAAAGACGTACATGCGAGCGTAAACACGAGCAATCACAGTATGAGCTAGTAACACAAAACGGTGTTTTTCTATCAGAAGCAACTTAAACTAGTCTGAATCAATTCCATCAATTTAATTACTTTAGGTTTTATCCTTTAACGTGTATCGCAACTGGTTTTCAAGTTTGAGTATAAGATTGACAAGGGGCATAAAATACAAACTAGTTCATGTTCCTTCTTTGAGAGGCATTTTAGAAGTTGAAGATGAAGTATAGATGAAGGAAAACCAAGCTCTATGGATGGTCAACTATTTATTGCAATGAGTGCGAGTTGATAACGGTGTTAGTACCTACACCGAAACGTCGCACACATTGCAATAAAGAAGTTGACTATCCATAGAACCTGGTTTTCGCTTGAAAACGGTGTTAGTACCTACACCGAAACTTCGCACTCCTTGCAATAAAGAAGTTGACTATCCGTAGAACTTGGTTTTCATTTAGTTCATGTTCGATGTTAACAGGTGCCTTCGTCACTTTCCTCCTCACGAGTGTGTATCATCACTATCAGTATCAACAACTTTGGGGATTGTGGAGTGACTGGGGTAGGTTGTCAGGTTGGTGCCATCAGCAGATACGGTTTGCGTTGGGGTGGTTGATAGTTGGAGAGGGTCTGACTGAGGTGATCCGTGCAACAGGTTTGTTTAGGGATGGTTGGGTGATAGATGGAGGCAGTCTGACTGGGGTGATCCGTGGAACAGGTTTGTTTAGGGATGGTGTTGTGGTCTGTGAGAACGGTTCATCCAATACAGCATACCGTAGGTCAATCTCAGCAAACGTCTCTGTGTATAGGTACTGGTCTGCTTTGTTCTCGTGGCGAGTTTCTGTAACTGGCTGGCATATTGGTCCTAGGGAGTGGGTCAAAGGGGCTGAAATTCATAAATTAAAAGTTCTCAAGAATATATCGACTGTCCTACTGACCCTGAATCAAATATACCTAATACAGAAGGTCTAGAATGTGTGCCAAGTCAAGATTACTACAGTTTCAGTTTCGGTACACATTTGTTCATGTCTTACACTCACATTGGGTATGGTCCAGACAGACCTTGGTACAGTTAGTGCAGGTCAGTTTAAGGTTCGAACCCACGATCATAGGTTTTTGTCCTCCCCCAAGTATAACAAAACTAACTACTACTCACTTTGGAATTGGCAGACTCGCAGATTCCCTGTTCCTGGCAGCATGGCACCGAGGTTTTCTCCTCATCGGTTGTACACTGTCTCTCCAGGAACTGCCAAATCTGATTCCGTTTCCAAACCATAACGCCAGTACACAGGACAAACACTATCGCAAATATAATCAATACTACAGTCAAGGTAGCGTCTCCTTTGGAATCATCAGGACTCGTATCCTTTGTAGACCTCTCTTCTTGTGAACTGGCCGTAGGTCCCATCCTTTACATAGTAATCTGTTAACACGCAAAAATAGCCATGCCTGTTCACTACTGTTAACTAGTATTTACATATATATAACAACCTATTATAACGCTTATGGTCAATTAAAGAAATCGGAATGACCTGGGGATGATTTTCAATATACTTTGCATATACACATAATACTCGTAAAAAGTATCTATATATTATCTATAAATTAGAACATGCTTATTTCAGAAGAAAATGTTTTACGTAACTTTAACATGAAGCTATAGGTACCACGAAGACATACTACCTGGACATTTCTCCATGCAACGCTTTGTAGTTCCTTGGTGTTCGTGGTAGTCACACAGGTGGTCACACGGCGTACATCCGTGTATGGCGGGGTCGTAGTAGTTGAAGTCGCCACAATCATAATCATCGCGTTTATGTCTGCCGTTTCCATGTCGACGGAATTGTTGGGACTTCTGAGGTGAACTGGCTGTATCTTTTTCTGGCAAATGAATGAATGAAAGAAAATATGAATGACAAAGACAATGAATGAATGACAAAGACTAATATTTTAGTGCTGTGAGTGTACGAGTGTCACATGGATCTTGTGCTTTCCCTCAGATTCAAGAACTAGCTTGCTGACAAGACATGTACTCTAAATGGACTCTCCCCATACATTCAACCACAATTTGTTAAGATGAGGAGCAGCTCAATATTATTCCCAAGCAGCACAGATAGTCAATGTAGATATACATTTAGAGCTTCAGGAGTCTTTACCATTTGCCAACGCCCGCGCATTCACTATAAACACGTATGCGCTATTTTTAGACGCGGAAGTTTCAGGTGTGTCCCGAGGACAGCATTTTGCCATTCTACGTGTACGTTTCCTGTGTACTTTGTACCTGGGATGCTCACTCTCTACCCAGAGTTCCATGCGACAAGCCAGCATAGTATCTCTGCCACAGGCCAGAAAAATGTGACGATTCGTCACATCTTGCACCGTCCATTCAATATAATTTACATATTTCTCAACTCTTTTATTTTTGACGAGTCTACACAACTAATCAAACATCTTTGATAGAATGGTTTAGTTTCATTGAGAAAATATCCTAAAACATGTAACACTATTTCGATTTGCGTAGCGATCCTTTGTTTACATAGGTTGTACGGCTCCACGTGCTGTCATCGAGGCTGATGGAGAGCAAACGATGCAGCCAGTTTGATATCTAAATATGTACTGTCATAGACCTTACTGTCGCAGTTGTGGAAGAATATATATGTAACAATGTAAAACATTATGAAGAGAGCGCCGAAAAGCTTTCGTGAGTCCAGTCTCTTCTTATTATGAATATGCGCGTTTGATTACAAACAAGAGAAAAGTCCGGTCACGTGATATGCAAATTTGCCTGTGGCAGTGGTGTTATGTTAAGTCATCGCTGAGCCGGTGTGTGTGGGATGCCCTGTAGGAACTATGGTGATTGTTTCTTGCCAAGCCTACACTTGTAGTTATGTTACAACTAACATTACACGTGATCCATTGGAACACCAACCGAGGCCGACACATCTCGGATTGTTTTACGTCTATTCTATAACAGGTTAAAGGAAAGTTTTCAAAACGAATGTAAACACGTGCGCATTGTTTATGATTAGGGAAAGGGTGTTGGGGCCTTTTAAATGTATGCAATAAGGAACCAGTAATGAGTGAACATGGTTTTATGTATTCGTTAGCAATATTCAAGAAATATCATGGCGGGTGACACCACATTGTACCCATGTTGGGATTCGAAACCGGACCTTCGGCGTGACAAGCGAAGAGCTGTAACCGCTAGGCTACCCAACCCACATTAGGGCGTTAACATTTTCACATGCGACATACACGCCTAATAATTCACACATATCCAGATGTCCAATCACGTATATGGACATATTACAAGAAATCAAAACAGGTGAAACGTAGTATTACATGTACTTACTCCCACGTCCACATAGTTCCTTACAAGGCACACAGTCGTGCAAGTCAACGCTCCACACAGACGAGTCCGGACACTGTCGCAGTGTCACAGACACTACCTGACCACACACACTCAGTAGTACTAGTACTATTATATCCATTCATCTGTTACTTCACTAGGAGATATGTACGCGATACACAAGTGACATCGATAACACGAGTGTGGAGCGCCCGACGATAGACTGGGCCATACGCAATGAGCGGTGAATCACGTGACCTGACAATGCGCTGAACTTTATGAATGAACACGGGATGTGCGCGTGAATCACGCAGTTTCCTATGCAGCGTAGCTACCAGATGAAGCCCGGGCTTGACGGTGTACTTGCTAAAATGCAAACCCTCGGGATCTGCGCATAAAGCTTTGCAACTTATGCACAAAGTTTCAATGGTATGCGCCTGATAGTATGGCCTGCTATGTAATCTTAAATTGCATTAGTGACTGACTAACAGTCCTTGCATACATAAATTTAGTTAGTGTACAGTACATGTTATTGTCAGTCTTTTGTTAACGAAATATTCCATTTACAGTAATATAATATACTCCATCTATTGTCTGTATCTACAACATGTAATTCATTCAATAAGCTATTCATCTACAGTTACGACTGTAAATTATATACTCCATCTACAGCAGATAATATCTGCTATGTATACGCATGATAATAGTAAACGGTATCTTTCATCAGCTGTCAGTGATATACTTCATCTATAGTAGATGATATACTCAGTCTACAGTAAATAACATATTCAGTCTACAGTAAATGATACTTGGTGTTCGCGGAAAGATGAGCGTTATATGCTGCCCATAAATTCATTATTGCCTTTGTTAATGTCTGTGTGTCTGTCTGTCTGTTTTCAATACTTTAAATCAACTATCATCAAACATACTTTTAGCTGTTTGGTAATTCTTAATTGTGTGTAATCAAATAGCACCTAAACTTTATGTATTGGAATCATCTGAATCAATGTTCTATTAGCCACAAGCCCCTTTCGCCAACCATACACAAAATCCCTATTTCTAAAAGCCATTATACATGTCCGGGTATATCCTGAATTACTGAATCATGATAAAGTAGTGATGTGTTGGCGACAGATTTATCCTGTCAACACAGGGTAGGTCAGTTGTACATGTACATATACTTTGTAGTATCTGTGTACTTTGTGACCATATTTTTAAATTCTATATACTTACAATAAGCAACTCGTGTTATCTTTCGAGTTTCTTTACTGTTTTTATCGTAAGAGAGATTTAAAATAAAATAATGTCTCACAGTCCATCTGCACTGCTATATACAATGTAAATGTATGAGGTCAGTGGTAAGGGACGATGGTCACAACTCTCTTTGATGCAGACAGGACCCGATACATATCTATGTTGTTGTAAATATAATCTTCACATTTACATTTAATTCTATATAGCAAACAATGAAATGCATGAAGAAGTATGGATCCAGACATACTTCTTTTAGAAGTTGAAAAGGTTAACTATCTTCACCAACTCTGACTGACGACAGCCCATAGGTCTGTCACGTAGTTGAAAACATAGGTATTGTATGATAGCTAAAGTTCTGTACAACCCAATCAATGGTTGACGTACCTCTGAATGATCACCTTTGTGACACCTCATGAACAGTCCTGGTATAATGTCCTGTTTTCCTATCTGGACACGAGGACCTAGAGTCAGCCATCGCACGTATATCCCCAGTCTCTACAGACCGTCGTTTCTGTCCCTGAGAGTGCCAGGGAACATGGCAGTACCAGAACGTATGTTATTGTGAGTTGATTACGACATTGGCATTATAGCATAGACAGAGGTGTATTTCTGGAATCAATGTTGACGTGTTGTTGCCCGGTCCCCCAGATAGTTACACATGTGTGATTCGATGTTATTTATGGTACACGGATCATTGTTCCACATGCAGAGTAACTGTTTCACTGTACGTACTTGCAAGATCCACTGGTGACAATCATGAAACTACCTATACAACCACTTCTTAGTTGTGTTATCACACATGCTTGGTACCTGTTTCACACTACTTACCTGCAAGATCCACTGATGACAATCATGAAACTACCTGTACAACCACTTCTGTTGTGTTATCACACATGCACCCTGCGTTTCACACTACTTACCTGCTATATCCACTGATGACAATCATGAAACTACCTGTACAACCACTTCTTAGATGTGTTATCACACATGCTTGGTACCTGTTTCACACTACTTACCTGCTATATCCACTGATGACAATCATGAAACTACCTGTACAACCACTTCTTACATGTGTTATCACACATGCTTGGTACCTGTTTCACACTACTTACCTGCTATATCCACTGATGACAATCATGAAACTACCTGTACAACCACTTCTTAGATGTGTTATCACACATGCTTGGTACCTGTTTCACACTACTTACCTGCTAGATCCACTGATGACAATCATGAAACTACCTGTACAACCACTTCTTAGATGTGTTATCACACATGCTTGGTACCTGTTTCACACTACTTACCTGCTAGATCCACAGATGACAATCATGAAACTACCTGTACAACCACTTCTTACATGTGTTATCACACATGCTTGGTACCTGTTTCACACTACTTACCTGCTAGATCCACAGATGACAATCATGAAACTACCTATACAACCACTTCTTACATGTGTTATCACACATGCTTGGTATGTTTCACACTACTTACCTGCTAGATCCACAGATGACAATCATGAAACTACCTATACAACCACTTCTTAGATGTGTTATCACACATGCTTGGTACCTGTTTCACACTACTTACCTGCTAGATCCACTGATGACAATCATGAAACTACCTACAACCACTTCTTACATGTGTTATCACACATGCTTGGTACCTGTTTCACACTACCTACCTGCTAGATCCACAGATGGCAATCATGAACCTACCTGTTCAACCACTTCTTAGATGTGGTATTACACATGCTTGGTTGGTACCTGTTTCACACTACTTACCTGCTAGATCCACAGATGACAATCATGAAACTACCTATACAACCACTTCTTAGATGTGTGTTATCACACATGCTTGGTTGGTACCTGTTTCACACTACCTACCTGCTAGATCCACAGATGACAATCATGAAACTACCTATACAACCACTTCTTAGATGTGTTATCACACATGCTTGGTACCTGTTTCACACTACCTACCTGCTAGATCCACTGATGACAATCATGAAACTACCTGTACAACCACTTCTTACATGTGTTATCACACATGCTTGGTACCTGTTTCACTACCTGCTATCGCCTGCTACAATCCACTGACAACCACAATCATGTGAAACTACCTGTTACAACCACTTCTTAGATGTGTTATCACACATGATGTGGTACACTGCTTGGTACCTGTTTCACACTACCTACCTGCTAGATCCACAGATGACAATCATGAAACTACCTGTACAACCACTTCTTAGTTGTGTTATCACACATGCTTGGTACCTGTTTCACACTACTTACCTGCTAGATCCACTGATGACAATCATGAAACTACCTGTACAACCACTTCTTAGTTGTGTTATCACACATGCTTGGTACCTGTTTCACACTACCTACCTGCTAGATCAAAGGATGACAATCTGGAGCTACCATGACAACCATTCCCAATAAGGATGTAACATACCAGTTGCAGAGTAACTGTTTCAGTGTATATACCTACTGCATCGTCTAATGACGAGGTTACCAGTGCAATTACTCTTAAAATGGTTTCGAGATCCGTACTGGTATTTCCTTGTTGATGCTAAATTTGGTGTCTTGTCATTAACCCGTGCTTCTGACTCAGACTGCAGCACAGTCACATGGCGTGAATAACAGGACATGCCTCCTCATATTACACTAGTCAATAGACAACAGCTTACGAATGTCGAGGAAGACGGATTATTTGTGAATTCAATTTTGTAACTCTCGAACTTTGGCAACATTTAATTCACGAAGGACAGAAAATCCGTCTCTCCTCGCCACGAGTAGTCTATTGTTTTCATTGCCTATGGTCAAATTTGAACAGATGAAGATTGAAAGATTCTTTCATTCATCCTTTATGTTAGAGGCAAAGATGCATTTTGTCAATTCCTACGCGTATGAAACCAAACTCCATTAACACAGTCAATAATGATTCCACGATAATCGAATAATAAACATATATTTATCTAGGGATATGACAGAATTGTGAAAATTTTCTAAAGTTAAGCATGGAGAATCATTTGAGTTTCATTATTATCGACATTATGTATTTCATAGTACGTGATGCAGGATACCTCATAAGTAGTCAAATGCGTGCGGTTTACCTCAAACTGTTCACCAAGCAGTTTTGCCGTCGTTAGCTTCACGTCATTATAGAGTGAAAATGCTGAAAATCTAACGATTTATACAATGCCAACTCACAACAAGAGTATAAACAGATTATGCAACAAGTGGGGGTTATTCAACGAGAAATTTATTGTGAACAAATGTTTTTAAACAATAGTCCATGACCCTGACCTTGATGTGATTAGCGTTACGGAACAACCGACCTTCTTCTGTTCACAAGTGTCCGGAAAGGAAAAGAAAACGATCTGTGCTAGGAAAGGGAGTTTTTAGTGGTGCACTGTTATTCTGAATCGGATGATGCATATTGGATACTTCGACGTTTGGAAGGAGATGTTTTCATCGGCAGACAGGACAGACTTGAAATGTTTGTTTTCAATTAATACGCAGGATAAAAGAGTGTGCATCATATCAGCATTTGGTAAATTGGATGACTTAACCCTGGCAAGTCATGTCTTTGTACCGATGGATGGACGGAAGTCATATCTTTGTACCGATGAATGGACTGTAGGACGCCATATTCGAGGTACATGCAACAGTTGAGAGTATGTTCATAGACATAGGCCAAGAAACTGGCTGAAAATGGTCAGTCGGTGACATGGCCCAGCATTAACTTTCGGTGTTGACGGCATACTTTCCGCGATGGTGAGAATGCGTTAATTGAATGTTGATCCCACTGGCATTTGCATTATGATAAAATTGTTATTTTCATCGTTCGTAACTTGTGTTACTAGTATTTGATTTCAGGGTAGAACGTATCCATTCAGTTTTATCGGAGATATTATGGGCAATAGTAACAATGCACTGTCAACAGAACCTGAAGACAAACAAACAAATAATTTTTTAAAAGTCAGTTACAGTGAAATATATTGGATTAAATGGATAGAGAAAAACGGACATCCAACCATGAATTAAATTCGAGACGCTAAACTATAAAAACTAAATTTATCGTAAAAGTACGTTTCAAAATCGATAAGATAGCACGACAATGTGTGATACTCGATTCTGATTGGCTGAGAGCTCATCAAAACCGTACTTAAATGACAGTTTAAGGACCGCTAATTAAAGTGACCGATTCATCGCGTATGAATACAACGAACTCGTTGACCCTATTGTTTGTAAACAAACATGTCGGACATCGGCAATTTCTATCTCGGCAGCATCTTTGGTGTTTTTAAGTAAAAAGCGAATGGTTTGAAGAAGAATTTCTTGACCCTAATCCCAGAGAAGAAACCACGAAGCTGGAAAATCCGTCAGCAGCGCAAAAGCGGCAGTATATTCAAAGCGGGTCCAGATCTACGTGTGTTGACGTCGACAACACACGTCGGCCCACACGTCCTAACCTGACAGCTTCCGTCCCGGCCGTAATGCCCAGTCCTTCCACTTCCACTGTCCATGTATCCCACATAAAACGTGGCATGTCAGGTCTTTTCCAAATTGGGAATAGTAGGGTGGTTATCAACAATTATTTCCGTGAATAAAGTTGGCGGCGACTAAACTTAGCGAGTTCACGGCTTGCATTTGGGCGAGTCGATTGTCATACAGTAGGGGAGATCAATAATTCGCTTGAGAAAAATCAAATAATTGTACTTGCTCACAGTATAAACTGTATTTTTATTTATTTATGTATGCTACTTGTTACAAATACAAGCATACTGGTTCCTGAAATATAGCATTTATGTTGTTGAAAATAACTGATTTTGTTCATTACACAACCTGTCCCTCAACGGGACGGTTCCAAAGCGATTTCCAGGAAAAAGGCCCCTTTGCGCCTTGTGTTCTTGCGCGCCAAACAGTTCGGTTTTTAAACGCTTATCAGTCGTGCTAGAATGAAGATAAAGCTACTCTGTTTTCAAATTTGCGGTCCTTTATCGTTGATTTAAGACCGCTAAATGTTTAATTTAAAACCTCACGCTAACGCGTTCGGTTTTAAATTACATTTAGCGGTCTTAAATCAACGATAAAGGACCGCAAAATTGAAAACAGAGTAGCTTTATCTTCTAATTACCCAAGGGGATCTGCATTATTAGTGTCCCACCATCATGCTGCTTCTGTGCATTCACTTCTTCAAATTCTGAAAGAATTACAAGACAGAGGAAAGGTTTTAGACAAAAGCAAATGCATATGTATGACTTCAACCGTGACCGCGATGGCTCCTTTAATGCTTACGTTAAAGATTAGAGTACATGTAGATAAACTTAAAGACCCTGAAGCAAATATATGCAGTCTCAGGGTGAATATTATATTTTTTTTTACTAGAACTTTTTTCAGTAAAATATGTTCATAACGTTGATGCGGATAAACGATGCAGATGATGATACCTGGTTGGGCTCACTACACGCAGCTCAAGGCAGCACAATGAGCGAATGGGATTTCTCCATGGAGGCACTGCCAGGTCGAACACTATAAGAACGTTTATCTGCCTAATACCGCAGGCTTCTGCATTCCTCAGAGTGTTAGAAGGGCTGTTTTCTTTGCTGGTAAGGGAGCGTTCATAATTAATGGCCAGGGGGGGATGATGATTTTTATGGAGAGGCCTGTTCAATGTTAACGACCCTCCCTTAAATTTATGTACAAAGTAGGAGCCCCCTCCCCCCTGCATTTCATGTACAAAATCAATTACCCCCCCTTCCTATAATTTCAAGCACGATCTTGAAATATTTATATGTACAAAATTGCTGACAACCCCCCCCATCCCCTAGTACATGTGTACAAAATTGATGACCCCCTACCTCCCCAGAACACAATGAGTGGGCCCCCTTAAATCATCCTCCCCGACCCTCGAAGACCCGTCCCCACACACACACACACACACAAACACACACACACACACCTTTTAGCCATTACTTGTGTACGGTCCCTAACCTCCCAATGTACTCTCCCCCAATGTTAGTCCACAGATTGGAAGGTACCAAACATAGGGCACCGAGAATAATCGGGTGTCGATCAACTTTAATTGGTACAATACTTAAGAAGCAAGAACGACATTTTGTCAGTGAGATCAGCATATTTGCAATGTATTTTCCTAAAGATAATTATCACATTAATGCCAGAGGTGCAGAAACGAATGATTTTACTGGACTGATAAAAAATGGAGAGGTCTAGTTTGTTGGCCTGGGTAGGCCTGAGGCTGTATACTGGTCTAATCCTATGAATTTTATGATTCTCCACTTTCTGCACTTATTCTCGATCGTACAATGGATAGACCTCAGAACAAGCATTGCGAAAACAACATTAGAATGACCAAACCAGGCCACCATGTCTCAAAGGTATATATACTATGCGGCATCCACTAGGTGTTAGACAGTCTCATTACTTCATTGCATAACATTTCCTATTTACATTTTGATGAAAAAACACACATTGTTCTCTTGGCTGCGTGTGAAGGGCTCTCTGTTGGCAAAGAGCCAAACCAGCTTGATCAGCCATATATATTCAACAGAATATATTTACTCATTTACACATATCTTTCTAAGGGACATTAACTGGACACCGGAGTAACGATTACTATATTTGATTATGTTTTCGTATCTGTTATCATGCATTACTGTCTCAGAGCTGATCATGAATGCAGAGTAGGCAAGACTTGTGACTACTCATGGTTGGTAATCGATCTTACCTCCACTTCCGGTCCTTCGATACTTCAAACAAAGTGCTCTTCGTTTACAGCAGCAGCAAGATGGATATCGTCCAGACATTAGAAGTACAGCCGATACACAGCACATGATCATGATGAGCAACATTAACGTACACACTGTGTATATGGTAACTGAAATATATTAACACGTCACAATTTAATTCTGGACTCACAAAAGTCCAGAAACTCTCCGCACTGTGGCCCCTTTCTGAGAAAGGATTTGACGAATAAAACATGCAGTTGTCATGAATATATGAAAAGGATGAAAAAATGAAACATTTATTTCTCGAAAAATCAAAATTTAAACCCATGGGCGAGAATGTTTAGTTTCGCTCAGAATTCATTTGTTGGAGGTTGTAAATAAACGAAAGTATGTATATAAGTATCATGACACAAATTCAACTCATTTTGACTTGATTTGGCTAATTTAGAGCGATGTTAAAATATCTCGCCCATGGCCGGAAAACATTTGGCCCATTGGCGAGAATATTTACTTTTACTCAAAATATAGTTGTACAATTACAAGTAAAAGGGGTACACAGTCAACTGACTGAATGACAGGGGTGATTTCAGCTCTCGTGCCTACATTCCCATCTATATCTGGAACAAGTGTTCACTGTTTCGTAATGATTCATGAACATTGCCAAAGGTGGCAGTCTTTCAAACATATTGTGACTATAGCAGTTGTAATTTTACCAATTATGTCGGGAAAGGACAGTTAAAGTCCGGTTTGCTCGCCGACATGATTATGTTACTGTGTAAAACCAGTTTCCAAGGACATGTTTAGATCAGCCTGGTACCTGGGGTGTGTTGCGCTACGCTTCGACATTGTCTGATCCAGGCTGATCTTTAGATACGATAACTTTACTTCTGGGATTATATGTTAGTCTGGGTAACAACTCACGAGCTACGAAACGCCTAAAACTGTCAGTGAAAAGTATGCTAAAAGGTGAATCAGAATGCGTACATCCACGTAAATCAAAACACCCCAAAGAGATGACAACAGGAGACTGGTGTTTCTTCCGGATTAAAATATTCAGATGACAATATTATCTTCCGGATTAATAGATAGGATTTACTTAAATGTAACGCCAGATTACCTTGACTGTCGTCCAGTGTGTGTGGTAACCGTTCTTCAGTTGAGTTCAGTTTGTTCACTGATGGCGTGTTGTTGCCATGTAACGCTTTCTTCAGTGTCAAGGACGTCTTTGTTACTTCTGTGTCTCCTACTACAAACACAAACACCATGTGTCACTTACCACTGAAGACACAAACATCTCACTACAAATGATAAACAGGTAGAGAGCACAGTGTGTAGTGTCAGATACCATATTATATGATCTCTGGTAGTGTGGAGTCATCCCACAGATGACATCCTTACCTTCTCAGCTTGCCGACAGGGTTAACCTGTTTGGACATGTGTACAAGGCGTCCGACTTGGGATCAGAAGGTCCGGGGTTCGAATCCCAGCACTGGACTCGGAAATTTTGTGGCCGCTACACAGTGTGTTGCAGGACATCAACAAAATGTTACAATACTCAACATAATGTCTTGTATTGTAGTTATCTAAACTGAATGAACATATCCCTATTTCATAACACATATTATTGTCAATATACAAATTGCATTTGTGATACATATAAAAAAGTGACGGATATATTATCGTTGAGGGATGTTTGTTAATGAATACGGTTAATTGCACTTTCACTTTAAGATCGAGGTTGGATGTTGGATGCTTTGAGACGTCTCACCGGGACACAGTCTTCGACATGTACTTTCTGTTTTTCTGACCGTTGCTTGGTGGCACAATTCTGCACAGCTTTCACACCTGTCGGTGTCGGTGCTGTAATAGAAGTCTCGGGGACACACTGGAACATTTCATGTCAGTTATAATCCATGCCATTATGAGAAATGATAGCAAAACAACAATAATAAACCGACAAGACTGTGAACCATTGCACCGAGTGAATGACAAGGAGCCAGTACAACTATCCATAAATATGTATCAATAGCTTATTGAGGTCCGATTACGAAATGTCAAATTATACGGATCGTTTATCTTTTATATTCAAAGTACTAAATAGTTTACTGATATATAATGAAAATTCAGAAAAGCAACGTAAGTACGTAATGGTTATTCAATATGATTATAGCGTTTATGAGGGGTATGATAAACAGTGAGGTATATGTCATTTCGTCAGTGTCTGATTGTTCAAGTGTTCCACACGTGTATGTTCAAGAATACATGTTACAGTTCGTGAACGTTTCATATTTAACAGTCGACCTACCACTGGTAACAGATACGTAATACATTGTGGTGTATCTTTCCTACCTTGGTACACCCTCACAACAACACAGATAGGGTTAATGTAACACTGACTGTGTCTTTCTATACAACAAAAAATCTTAATCTGAATTAATGTTTACAAAGTTATTCTTGAACGTATATAATTACCTTGGACACAGGCAATTCTCCCCAGACAAGGAAGAAGAATTAATAACGTGGCATGTGCCACCATTTTGCTGGGTAGTTTTATTTTCGGTTTCTCATGGAAATTCTAGTTTCGTTCATGACGTAATATGTATTCATTCATGTAAGGGGCGGTGGGGTAGCCTAGTGGTTAAAGCGTTGGCTCGTCACGCCGAAGACCCGGGTTCGAATCCCCATATTCTGGTGTCCCCGCCGTGATGTTGCTGGAATATTGCTAAAAGCGGCGTAAAACCAAACTCAGTCAGTCAGTCAGTCATGTAAATGTATGTACCTAATGTACATACTACTTTCCAAAACATTTGGAATAATAAAGGTACTGAATGGGTTGTGAAGGCATCATGACATTTCTCTTGGTACACAGCTTCTTTTCTGTCTCTGTTATTACAGCCAGGTAATCTGTATTCCCGGATGGATGGCAGTATCTTCCTGTACTGTGAGCCACTTGATCAATATGCATGGTGAAATATTTACACGAGTAAATTTCCATTCCACCTGAGCAATTATTACAACGTTCGGGTTGAAAACGTCAGTACGTTTCCATTATCACGTGATCACAATGTTTCTGTTCGAATTCTCTGTTGGGAAATTTCCATCAAAACAAATCCGACGTGCCCGAAACCTGTATGCCTAACACACCGAAGGGGAATCCCCTACAAAGTAGGTCACCTGAATCTGTATACGAAATTGTAGGCCTATGATTACATCATTGAAGTCGCCAAGCATAGTGTCTATAGTCCTCTACAGGCTGCCTACACAGTGAGGATAAACCGTCTATGCACTGGTTTTAATCTCAAGACAGTAATATACACATAGCTATATCATTATAAACAGATCGTGTTATTTTCCTGCAATGCAGTGGTATGTGAAGTTGCAGCAGTTTCACATAGCGGTGTTTACATCTAAAGGTGATCCTAATCAATACGATGAGAACGTCAACGCCTGCTTCACGAGTGAAGGGGCTGTTTCACTGATGTGTGAGACACGTCATACTATAATTATATATATCTGGTGTCAAGATATATCACTGTCTGTAACTGACTTTCATTTATCCAGCCGTGTAATTGTCACTTCTTGTTTGCCATTTATGGACAATGGACGCGATATCTGAGACTTGTTATTAACTGTACCTGTGTACGTTCCCGAATTATTTCAGTTGAACAATTGACTAGACTTTGCATATTTTTATGACGGGTGCCTCCCGTGGGGCAGGGTACGCTCACCGTTTCGCGAACACCAGTTTCATAAACACATGCTCTGTCATCTTATCGCATGGTGGTAGTCAATATAGTCAAGTCCAGACTCATTTGTTTACAAAAAATCCTACAGCTGTAATACTGCTGAAACAAATACAGTCTCACGATATAGTAAAAAAAGTACAATCGACTCCGGTGTTGGCAGAGAATTTTTATGAACGTTGAAAGGGATTTGGCGCTTCTATTGTCTATTTACACGTGGCTCACGCAGGGGAATTGAAGTTGATAAGTTACAACTCCAGAATAGACACTTTACCAATCACTAACATTTAAAATATCTTAAATTGAGAATTTTTCCTTAGCCAGCATTTACAGTACACGTGTCCATTGTACGGAAGGGAAGGACATATACTGAGTCAAACTAGAAACTTCACAATCATATATTAGATAATATATAAAAGAAAGGACTTAAGAATATGGTATAGAGGTTATCATTTATTTGTTAAGTTCTATAGGATGAACTGAGAATAATCACAATGCCAAAAGCCGGTTACATGTGGTTACAAATTTTATCAATAAAAGGCGTAAACAAAGTGTCAAATCACAAGAAATTAAATCTGATGTTTCAAACGTTCAGTAGTGTATATGGCCACTTCGTGCGTTCACAACTGCCAAGCAACGCCTCCTCATGGGCTGTCTGATGCATGTAAACACATTATTGGGGAGTCGATGCCATTATTCCTGCAAATCAGAGTGGGCTATCATATTTTTTTAAACAGTAGTGAATATAAATGTCATGAATTGGCTGATAGTTCATATATTTATGAAAATATTACTCCAAATATTCATAACACCTTTTGTAAAGAGATACTGCTATTATGAAGCTTGAACCTGAATTGTTTTGCCACTAAAGAAGCAACTACTGAGGTGAGGTGAAATTGGGTTTAACGTCGTGCTTGAGAATATTTCGCTCATATGACGACGTGCATGCGTGTGTATGTGCGGCTGCTTGTACTAGCCGTGACTGAAGCTGGTTTTATAGTGCTAGCCCACTGAGATACCATGCCGCAGTGAAGCATGAATACCCCACTCAGACACATTATACTGACTCCGAGCCGACCAGTCCTTGTTGCACCCATTAATGCCGAGCGCCAGGCAGGGACCAACAAATACCATATTTTAACGTCTTTTGGTATGACGCGGTCGGGGATTGAACCCGCGACCTTCCGCTCTCCGGGGTGGACGCTCTAACCACTACACCACGGAGGCGGTCAAACTATTGAAGATATTATGAGCAAATCAGTTTGGTATAACAATTCCATAAAAATTGATGGTATGTCCATGTATATATTGCACAGTGGCATAAAAAGGGTATAACATTTCTGAATGATTTTATTAATGAACATGGAGTTTGATGAATTTGTAAAAAAATATAGAATTAGAACCAATTTCGTGACCTATCAAAAAATTAAACAAGCTATGTTGAGTTATTCACAAAATATTAATAAGAATCATTTAGTGAAGATTTCTCAAGGACCAAAATTTGCCATTCACATCTCAAAAAATACATAATAAATCTGGATGTAAGGTACTTTATACAATTCTGCATGAGCCTATTTTCACAAAAAATTACCTAAGGCAAACATATACTGATTCAGAATGAATAAACTATAATTTGGGGGTAAAAAGGTCTACTCCATGTAATGAATTAAGGTGGTTTCAACTGAAAGCTTTACACCACATCCTGAGTATAAACAGTTATCTATTAAAGATTGGTAATGTACCATCAGCAGCTAGTATCTTATGTAACGAACCAGATGAAACAGTTTCACATATCTTATGTAAATGTTTATATTCTGTTGATATATGGGAATAGCTATTAGAATGAATTGGAAATTCCACGGCAGAATCACCTTCAGTGAAGAACATGTACTGTTTGGCTTAAAGGGTAAACATAATAATCCTTTGAATGTTGTTATCATGATAACAAAATCTCTCCTTTCCAAATTTAATAGAAAAATTACTAAACCAAGCTTTTTAACCTTTCAAAAAGAAATAATAACGTACAGACGTATCACGAAACCTCAAAGTATATTGCATATTCAAATTGTAACTTTGCGAACTTTCATGCGTTCAGGTCTTCTTTCCATTTACTGTTTAGAAATCCTCTACACTGATTCCTCAAAAGTGAATAAATTATATATAAATATACATATATATATATATTTGTGTGTGTGTGTGTGTGTGTGTGTGTGTGTGTGTGTGGTGTGTGTGTGTTGCTTATACATTTACAACAATAGCCACAAATGTTGATGCACACTCAACCTATGAATGTTCAGAAAGGATTGAAAAATCTAACTTCAAAAATGGAAATAACCAATTTAAAAATTATTTCTGCAAAGCAGCACCAAGATCCTGCAATTTCTGTGGTTGGTTCCCGAGAGTGCACAGATATGCTCGATCCTACCATCAGCGAATCTGAGGGTAAATTTTGATTCAGCACTGAAGACAACTCGATTCCAGTCTCTCAGAGTCCATCGGAGGTGTCGGGCCCACAGCAAACGTTGACGTACAACGTCGATGTAATGGCGTCAAAATGGTTCCGCGATATGGTCGTTGAACACGAAGGCGAGCAGCTCGCAGCCGGTTTTGGATGGTTTGAGACGACAGTCGACCCCTAAACAGCTCATGTCTGGTTCCTGTAGACGTCAGAAATCGATTACGGAGGTGACGTAACACAATTTGACGATCCTCCGTCTGTGACGTCACACGTGGTTGACCTGGCCTAGGGCGATCAGTAGACTAAGGCTTAGTCTCTGAATATATATAATTTTGATAGTAACAAACAAGCCCATTTATATTGAAAAGGAGCCCTAGGGAGACCAGAGATTCAGAACCTGAGGAAATCTAGACTTGCTTTATTTAGGGCTTTAGCACTGCAGAGAGGGCTTGGCAGTAGGGAAATTAATGTGGTTCAGGGACTGTGAGACAGACTAGGCGATCAGCAATGGTGCCAGTTTGTTGCAGTCGAGTCTGTAAATCATAAACAGTCATCACAACGTCACTTACTGACGTTCCCGCTTCCAGCATGCCAACGTTCACGCTGCACATTTGAGAGGCACGACATAAGAATTGACTGTTCTCGTTAGTGCTTTAAAGTGTTTTTTTAACTTTGTACAGTTGATGGGAACATGTGCGACCGAATGCACGTGCAATAGATCACGTGATCAATGGCACGTGAAAAACACGTTTTAGCACAATTGTGAGGTGCACGATGTTTGGATTGACTTGAATGTGCTGTGATGACTTTTTCTTGAGTCGATACTTGGGGTTTAACATTATGATACCTGAAAACTGTCTAACATAACAATTCATATTTGTAATTACAAATATAAATTGTGAAGTTTTTATTTACTCAGTATCTGTTTGGAGAACACCAGATGTCAGAAATCGCTTACGTTTTATATGCCTACCTGTCAATAACCAACCAACGACCGCGGCAAATGTCATGAATATACATATATTAAAAACAACAATAAGAACTTAACAGTGTCTAGTGTTTCCATTCTTTAATTATATACCCAAACCAAAACATATAACAGATTTTGTCCAATCACTCCATGTTTAGAAGCGAGATATGTTCCTTAAAATACTTTATGCCAGATTGGTTTGTTGTTTGGTCTGTCGTTTAACGCCGCACTCAGCAATATTCCAGCTATACGGAGGTCTGTAAATAATCGAGTCTGGACCAAACAATCCAGTGATTAACAGCATGATCATCGATCTATGCAATTGTGATACGATGTGTCAGACTTGATCGCTGGAATCTTTGCAAACACTAGGTGTTCACTAAAAGGGTAAGCGTATACTATCTCACAGGAAGCACACGCCACAGACACAACACATTGATAGAAAAATTAAATCTGAAATCAACTTTGAAACATACCTGCAACACTGCAAGATAAAAAAAACACCGTATCCACTTCACAAAACTAAGACTGAGTGATCACAGGCTAAAAATTGAACTGGGTAGACGAACAAGACCACCTACACCTTTGGAGGACCGTCTCTGTGATAAATGCTCTGTCCTTGAGGATGAAGAACACCATTTCATGTGTTTCATTAAATATTCAGATGCAAGAAAGTCCTTATTTAACTCCCTATCCTCTAAAATTAATAAATTTCTCAGCCTTACTACCACTGGAAAATTTAACCTCTTTTTAGAAATAATGATCCAAATAGTGTAGAAATTATTTGCTACCACATGTACAACTTTAAACAAAGAAGATCTGATTGTCCTAGGCCATTATTATTATACACATTTGTATTATTATTATAATATGTTTTGTTACTCATCATATGTATATATATATGATTCATTATATATCTTGTTTATGTAGTTTATAGAATATTGTCACTGTCTCTGTATGGAAGGTTTGCACAATAAATATGTTATCTCTCTTATTTGATCTCTTGATATGAGACACCCAGTAAGTCCTTACAGTCTCGGCCGACACAGGAGGTGGGCGTATATCTTCCGTCAAGCCAAACATGGACATTATATGTACGCTTCCGTTAATTGACCCGTATGTGAATAGCTTGTTTCAGCCGTCGGCTTCTCTTCAGGGTTGAGGTGGCAATAGACGAAGGGGTAACTTTCACTGAATCTTCTTTCTTATTTATATAGACTTGTGGAATGATTTAAAACGTATTTCACGTTTAAAGCAAAATGCAATGTGATCTTTAAGTGCCACGTCATTTCTTCGTTGTGACGTTACAAATCTTACAATTCGGGTCTGACTGCATAACAACAACATTAATTTTCATGTTTACTCAACATGTCTCTGGACTTCAGTCCTGCCAAACAACGAAGCACATGTGATTCATGTAGTCTCACGTTAGGCATGTGAGTTTGTTCAAAATTGCCTCTGTTCACCCAGCAGAAAATGGGTACCCGGTGGGATAAGTCATGTGACTATAACCTTCTTGCGCCTCACAGGCAGCTTGGGTTATCCGGAGTAATAATGAACGGTCTATTTGTATGCACTTTAAGCATGCATTTGGTTTATGGAATTTAGCGATATAGAAGTACACATATTTATTTACAGAATTATTTCAAATGTTATTTGTAAAACCAGCGTGATGTGGAGGTAATGACACACAAGTGAACTGACAGTGTCCTCAATACAGAATGCTTACTAAAAAAATGTCGGACGTCATTACTTGAGCCTATCAGGATGACACATGTCTGGGATAGCTGTGACATGTCCACGCCCAGTGTATCACGTGATGTACAGTCACATGACACTCATTCATATTTCTTATCAAATGGAATGTCATTCACAAAACGAACGTGCCGAGTGCTTTGTTGCGAAGCCAGTGAACAAAACCCGCCGGTTAATTGTATGGTCGTTGTTTCTCAAAAAGTATTCTCGGAAGGTTTCAATGGAACTCATGTTCCAATGGAACCGGCTTTCGATATGCGCCGATATGTCCATGGCCATTGACTGCGTCAGATATACAGTTGCGCATTAAACTCTCTCTTGCTCGGTTACCATGGTATCTGCAAGACAGATTGAAATATGTCAAATGTGTTTGTTTGCAGCATTTCATACAACATGATTTACCTTTATTGCTTCTGTTACAAGTCTTTTAATTCTCGTACCAGAGATGGTCCAGACACTGATTTATCTAAGGGAGTTGCTTCCCTTAGGTCTCTTTATCTAACAACCGTGCGTTCGTGTTGGGCAGTGGCAATGGTAGACTAACGCTCAGTCTCTGAATATATATAATTTTGATAGTATAACAAACAAACCCATATAAATGGAAAAGGAGTCCCAGGGAGACCAGAGATTCAGATTAGCAGTAGGGTAAATAATGTGGTTCAGGGACTGTGAGACAGACTATGGCAATGGTTATAATAAGCAGGTTTGGTCAAACCGGGCCTTCCTCCGAAATCAACTGACATGCTCGGATTAATGAAATAACGTCCTAAGTAGTGGTACATCAAACCACGCTTACCTGTATGTATATAGGCACTGTGGGTTAGCCTAGTGGTTGAGGTGTTCGTTAGTCACTTGAGTTCGATGCCCTACTGGGAACAATGTAAAGCCCATTTCTGGTTACCTCACTGCGATTTTGCTCAAATAAGTTCTTAATATACTGACCGCCTCCGTGGTGTAGTGGTTAGAGCGTCCGCCCGGAGAGCGGAAGGTCGCGGGTTCAATCCCCGACCGCGTCATACCAAAAGATGTTAAAATATGGTACTTGTTGGCCCCTGCCTGGCGCTCGGCATTAATGGATACAACAAGGACTGGTCGGCTCGGAGTCAGTATAATGTGTCTGAGTAGGGTATTCATGGCTAGCACTATAAAACCAGCTTAAGTCTGGGCTAGTACAAGCAGCCGCACATACACAAACACACGCATGCACGTCGTCATATGATGGGATATTCTCAGCACGACGTAAAACCCAATTTCATCTCACCTCACCTCACCTCACCTCACCTTTATATACTATGCTCACTCACCCATTCAGTCTCTCGCTAATATTTGGAAAGTTTAGTGTTCTGGATAATGCAAAGAATTAGTTGCAAAACAAACTCTGAAAAACGAATTTGGGTACACCCAACGTAACGTACATTCTGAACCATGGGTGCCTCCTTCCACAGGATACAGCGCGTGGTTGCCATGGTTACACGTGTTTCGGGTCCGTCTAATACACCGCCTGACTGACTCTCTGTTGGCGACGACAAGCGCCGTGACACAACCTGTGATTACAACTGATGTGAGGGTGACAAGGGATGTCTGCCAGGGTAACCAGCCTGATGATGATGGTGAGGGTAGCGATGGAGACGACAAAGACGCCGTTGTTGACGATGTCTTCGTGGCCTTAGTGGTGACATATCCTTAGGGTCAGAAACAAAGAGTGTAACATGAGGATTTATTTATTTATTTATTTATTTATTTATTTATTTATTTATTTATTTATTTATTTATTTATTTATTTATTTATTTATTTATTTATTTATTTATTTAACATGAGGTTTTATTTATTTATTTATTTATTTATTTATTTATAGTAGCTATGAACGTAAAAACCGTTGTGTAAACTGGTTTTGATCACAGCAACTTAAAGAAAACATATCGAGTGTGTGAGTGAGTTTTAGTTTTACGCCGCTTATAGCATTATTCCAGCAATATCACCGCAAAAATATCGAAGTCAGTCTATGTTTTCGAAAATGTTCAGCACATTTGAAGCAAACTAACGGCGAGAAATTTAGCAAACCCACCGCTATTCTATCAATTTTCCCATTCTAGCTTCAGGCCTTAATACTCAACATTAAACCACAGAGTCACTTCTTACATATATTTCTATTTCTGTGGACAATTCTTCATCTATGCCATCATAACCTGAGAGAATTCTCGATACTGTTAAATTCACAAAGTAACTTTACTGGAAGCGAAAAAAACCGTTTCCTTCCTTGTGCGGTTAACCGCTCAAGGCTGCTTCTAAATATAAAACATGGACTTTCCAGTTGCGAGATTAATCCGCTGCAGCGTTTGACAAGGCCCAAATGTTGTGTTGGATTTACTGAAGTATGTGTCATACCAGTGCAGTCAAAATCGTTCTTAATGGGTATACGTACTCGTTGATTACATGATAACATTACAGTAACAACAGTTTTGTAGATATGATAATGATTTCACTAAAGTCCATGCGTACTATGTCACGCTTTCAGGTTAATCTTATGTTATTCATCCAGGCCACGTGACAAGATTAATCTTGAATATCTGCACCACGTGATCGCTGTTAACCAATCACAAACCAGAAGGTTAATCTTGTGAGATTTCATCCGCATTCTGATTCATAAGCATTTAGAACAAATAGATCGTTCATGGTACTCTGTGTTGTCACGTGGTTGCTCTCATCCAATCACAAAACGTGAAAGTCGAAGTGAATGTTCTGCAACCAGACTTCCTGGGATGCATGTTGCAATACGGCAAACTAAGAGTCAATAAGCATGTCTTTAGTTTAACTATATCTTAATCGCAACTATTCTTCCGGCAGTGCAGGAATAGATGGAATCATTCACTGCAACGTCCCGACTGGGAGAAACGAGTTTCTTTCTTGATCATGAAGGTGATCAAGGTTTTGTTTCCAGACAAGGAAACAAGTTATGTCAGAAATTGACTGGATATAGTTTAATGCCGACAACATATGATTTAAGGAGGTAGAGAAAAACAAAGTCAAATAAACTAGCAGCCAATTTCATCGCGACTATATTTGTATGGATGTTTGACTGTTCTGTACAGTAACACATAATTTACCTGGACAGTTTTACGGTTCTGTACAGTAACATAATTTACCTGGACAGTTTGACTGTTCTGTACAGTAACACATAATTTACCTGGACAGTTTTACGTTTCTGTACAGTAACACATAATTTACCTGGACAGTTTTACGTTTCTGTACAGTAACACATAATTTACCTGAACAGTTTTACTGTTCTGTACAGTAACACATAATTTACCTGAACAGTTTTACGTTTCTGTACAGTAACACATAATTTACCTGGACAGTTTTACTGTTCTGTACAGTAACACATAATTTACCTGGACAGTTTTACGGTTCTGTACAGTAACACATAATTTACCTGGACAGTTTTACGGTTTGTACAGTCACACATAATTTACCTGGACAGTTTTACGGTTCTGTACAGTAACACATAATTTACCTGGACAGTTCCTCCCACACTTCTCCACCGTCCCTTGGATCTCTGCATGTTGACATATGATGGAGCAATACTCACACATCCCTGCATGTACATCATAGTACTGGTCCTCCCTGCAAACAGGGTCCAGTGCCACATTGGTCAAAATCAGCAGAACCAGAATAGCAGAGCGTTGGCACGACATTTTAGTCTTTGATCATGGTCCGTCACAGATGATCCACATTGAGTTGTAAGCGTCTGTGGCTTAAGAGATGTATGTACAGTTACTGGTTAAATGTACAAGGTGCATATTGTCAGAAAGTGTGAAATTTCCATATTACCCTGACAGCATTATTCCTGATGTCACGTGACAAGGCGTCATGTGACTCGTAGCATTGGGAGAATGCTTCACCTCTTATATACAAATGACATAGGTTGTCAATATATCACATGTACAGATGTTGTCAGCGATATCACTAGTTGTAGATAACTTATTTGTGGTAGCAGAAGTAGTAATCGTTGACGTAGTTGCAGTTGCATTAGCAGTAGTTACAGCAGCCGAAGTAGTTGCTTTCATAGTAGCGGTAGTAGCAGCGGTGATTGCGGTTAAACATGTCAGAGATTAATCTCCTTATCCCAGTCGATGAACATGCAGAGCTATTTATGGGAATGTTGTCAGAGGTGTTTCCAAATATAACTCACTGACATCAAACCACATGCGGATTAATCTTCACTGATTAACCAGCGGAATCACCTGCAGGTAAGGTCGTGCTGTTGCTTGGATTAGTACCATAGATCACATTAGTGATCCAGATATAGTAGCATAGTTATTTCAATTTCACATAGGTTCGGAATGTGCTAGCAAACAATAGCTTGTACTTTGTATTCCACTAGACAGTTCTCATCTTTTTACTGTGTTGTTTCCTTTGACATGAAATGATAATCTTTTTATGCTTTAGCTGCAGTGAAAATAGTCACATTCGGGGAGTTCCAGCTGACCACTGTCGCTGAGATTTTTACATTATAGATACAACAAGCATTGTCACTAAGGTGACATAATCCCCCGCCGCAAATTATCAAATCAAACTTATAAAGTAATGAAAGTTTAAGATGAAGTTAACTGTCAACGAAAACATGACCAGTAAACTTCTCTTGATATCTTGCTCATTAGTTGTTCAAACACACACACATTTTCAAGACTGACTTTGACCTTGTCATAGTTTATGAAATATGCAAAAATAGTACTAAAGAAATTGTTTATTGAAAAACATTCAAGGGAAGTCTTGAAAGTCTATGAAGAAAATCCAGTGAACCGTTCTTGAAATATCTTGCTGACAATTCAGGTTAACATGCTTAAACCTTCAAAGTGTCTCTGTGACCCTGAAAATTATGTGAAGGTCACTAAAATAGACTGGGCCCTGCACCTCCCCTAGATAAAGCTTGGTATTGAATATGAAGAAAATCCAGAGAACGGTTCTTGAGATAGCTTAACATGCAGGTTAAACGTTAAAGTCCCCTTGTGACCTTGAAATTAAGGTCAAGGTCACCAAACCTGACCTGGACCTTTCTTATACTGTGATGAACTTAGGTACCAAATATGAAAAGAATCTAGTGACCGGTTCTTACGCTATTCCAATTCGTACGTACGTACGGACGTACGGACGAATGGACAGACGGAGCCTAATACTATATCCCCCGCTTCGCGCTAAACGCGCGGTGGGGGATAATAACAAATGTAAACGGTGACAATGGCATGCTATATTAAAGTGGAAATGACAGTGTACATACATGTATATCCGGCGAATATCTATCACGTTACCTGTGCCATCCATTGACATCAAGGTTGGTCTGTTTGATATGCTGGTCATTGTAGCCGTTTCTAGAAATGTGTAATTCCCAGGTGGGACTAGCTACAAGGAGGTAGTTAAGTTAAAAATGATTTCTTTTCTTTGCGGACTTATCGAAACATTAGCACATTAAATGAAGACAAAACACGCCACGTTGTTTTTAACTGTTTATTTACAAAAATTAAAAAGTTGATTGTATGACCAAAAATCAATAATTGAATGAATAGATAAAAGCACTTTGTTAGGAAATATACAAAATGATATGGAGATCAGAATCGGATGATGATGATCATCATGATGATCATGAAGAAGAAGAAAATGATGATGATGATTCGTGTTGTATTTATGGACACTGTACTTCATTATCTCCAGGTGGCCTAGAATTTCCCTGATCCACGAATATACAATGTCTGGAATTGTTTGTGTCACAGATGACCCTCTGTCATGCAACGTGAAAGCTGTCTCCACAGTTTCTTTGAAGATCACCGTCAGTTGCGATCCATCGTTGTGACGTCATACATCAGGATTTCTAGAAGGAAACGTATTCACGATCAGACCATTGAGATATCGCTCGTTGAAGAGGCCGCGAAACACGTAGCACATACAGCACTTATTTATATCCCTCTTTGAATAATCAATTTATATAATTATTATATCATCATTGATTCAGTGTTCGCGTTAAAGCAAAAACCTGCGTGTTTGCTACCTGCGTGTTCTGCACGCAAAGCATTTTGTGTTCTGAGAACAAGTAACCGAAAAACGTACACAATTTCCCCAAGGGAACAATAAAAAAATATTCTCTCAGCTAATTTGATTTTCGAATGATGACAACAATCGCTGAAATGCAAGGAAGTGACGTGACGACCCCGGACTCCCCAAGAGACGTCGCCGCTTTCTGGCTCGGGCATACTCCTGCTCAGCATGCCCAAATATTCTTGGGGCTATGCTATTTAGGAACGCAAAGCTTTTTTTCCTACCGCGAACACTTTCATAGTATATTTATATATGACTACTTAATATGCTTATTCTCCTGAAAGAGGAAACATTTAATCGCCATGGTTATGACAACGCAGTAAAGTTTCTCACATACTTAACATATAGAAAACCTACATGTTGTTTCCATCTTATGACTGAACATATTCAACGTATAACACAACGTTTTCATCTTATGACTGAACATATTCAACGTATAACACAACGTTTTCATCTTATGACTGAACATATTCAACGTATAACACAACGTTTTCATCTTATGACTGAACATATTCAACGTATAACACAACGTTTTCATCTTATGACCTAACATTCAATATTCAACTTATTAGACAACGTAATACATATTCAAACCATTTGGTCTTGGGAGGTCGTCAGGTCCACCATTGCCGCCATCGACCACCTGTACAGGACGTCTGGTGTGGCAGTAACACTGGACACTCAAGCACATCTGGTGCAACCTCTGTCTGTGGTAGAGTGATAACGCAAGGATGACGACGACAGCTGCAATTGAGACAACAGGTACGACCACAGCCAAACTAGAAGGTGAATTCGTCCTTGATGTAGTCTCTACATCTTTCAGACCAGCTGGAGTTGGAAGCGATGAAGCCCAAGTTGATCCTGTAGTCGAGGTAGTCTTTGAAAGGAAATCTGTGAATAGTGGTCAGGTAATTATATACCATAATGTTCGCTTACTTATTGGTGATTAAAAGACGACAGCACATTACAGGAGGCAGTAGATGATAGAGTTTTATTCCCTTGTGTTAAAATTTGTGAAACCTAGTTAAATGCCTCGTGACAATCGAAGATATGTGCGAGTGTCGACCTAGGTGACAAAGTAGCATAGTCTTAGATAATATATGATGATAGTGGCGTTGGATTTAACAGTGTTTAGCTGTAAGTAAAACAGTGAAGTAGACATTTAAGAGATTCACCACTATGATTTCGGTTCATCCCAAGGCGCATGTCGAACCACACTCACTCAGGTTAATCCGTCATTTGCGCTGAAAAGTAGGTTAAACAACACACATGTCGGATCACCTCCCCGGGTTAGGCAGTAGAGTTGTTATAATCCATTCATGCTTTCTTGTCTAGCTTAGTTATTTATAGCACACTGTTAATCAATAACTCGGTTAATCCGGTTTGTTAACGGACTGTGTGTAACGTGTGACCAAGAGCCTATTGGAGTGTATATTGCTTCATGCATCATAATTAATGAACATAAATTGTATTTACATATAGATACATTGTATATATAAATACATCCGATAAAGCATTCATAACTGACATATATAAGATCAATATTGATACTAGTAATGATACAGCCTCTCATACATCTCACCTGGACAATTATTGTTGCATTTACTGGCAGTGTTCTGTATCTCCATGTGATCACACACCATGATACAGTATTCACACATGTGTGAGTCTGGGTCCAGGAACTGACCACGCCCACATGTTGACCTTGTCTCAACCGACACGACCACAGTCACAACAAGAATCCCCAGTAGAAATCGATCCATGATGGAGTGTTTCAGAAGTCCCAGCTCAGCTTCTAATAGCCGGCAACTCGGAAAAGGATCATTTGCTCAAGCGCTATGGATGTGCTTTATGGAAAGGAAAGACGAGCCCCTCGCCACCCTTGTCGACTCCAAATGAATGACAACGTGTGGAGTATCTTTGTATGACGTAACATGTAGTCACGTGATCTTTAAACGTTTGGTCTGAGAAATTATACTAAATATAGAAAAATGTTTGTCTTAAACATATTCTTGATCTACATCTTACGATAAAGAATCATTGTGATCAAGTATTGGTCTTAAACTCACATACCATTTATGGAACTTTTGTTGATGCTCACCCTAAAGCCGCTCGGATTCATTTACAACACATACTCGCCGGATTTACTGCTATACTCGTATCACTCTAGGTTTAACCCATTCTATATTTAGCATAGGGAGTTCCCCTTCGTACCGGGTTAAACTCGTGGTGTGTTAGATCGAGGGTACAGCAGATGTGATAACGGTCAAGGGTTTGTACAGTGCCTGGAATGTATGCACGGCCCACTGTACTTATCACACTCAGTACATACCATGGAGGTTGATCGATGGAGGTATCTACACCCACGTGTGTGCATTACTGGGGGGTCGGGATTAGTCTTCATATGGTTGATCATGTGAAAGGTGGGAAAGAAGGCTGGCTAACGTATTTGTATGACACTTGTATTCTGTCAAAACATTGTTCGTGACTTAAGACTTTATATATTGTTGTGACTGTATCATAGATGGATATGATTACTGACAGTTTTGTTTGTCTACTGCAGTTGAAGACGGGTTTCATTATCTCCTAAGATGGGAAGTACTTCTCTGACATATAAACCACCTAACAACCAATGCACTTAAAATGAGGAGAAATATGTTTTAATTGTATACACAATGCCATTTAGAAAGTGGTCATATGTATATTTGGGATTACACTTTCTCAGTAAAGTACAGATTCAGAGTCAGGCACGTAATGGCCAGTAAACAAAGTCAGCCATCTAACCAACTCAGCCAGCACAGCTTCTACAAAAAAGGAAGTCGGACAACTGGTAGTCGAGACCGCGGACTTTGTGTACCCTCTACGAATGTAAATTAGTACGGTTCCCACGGCTGAGAACTGTGAATACACAATACCATTTAGAAAGTGGTCAAATATAACAAATGTTATATTGGGGCTACACTTTCTCAGTAACGTACAGTTTCTAGCAAAGCTTCGAAACGACACACTCAGAGTTGTGCATTCATACAATTGTTAAGTAACTTGAAAACGACTTATCGTTTACTACATATGCCATTTTGATTATCAATGTTGTATATACTCCATTCTCAACGACCAGCGAGATGAAGAGAGTACATACTGCCATGTCTGTTTCATAACACAGTTCATTTTATCATCTGTGCTCAAAAACAATATTCATCACTGGATAGCGTTACCGTCACACTCCTTCGCGCGCGTGAGAAAGTGCGTGTATTTATTATAATACATATCAGCTTATCATCCCTCACAACTTAACAGATAACACGTCACACTTGAATTGATAAACGTTGGCCTTACAAGGATAGGAATTGTCTGAAGTGCATTCGTGTTCAACGCAGAATGCATTAAAACAGCCTTCAGCTACCCCGGTCTGTCCTCGTGTGTGCCTTTATTTGTACAATGTCTGAATCGAGAATGTTGTTAAAAATGTTCAAACCTCAATCCGAAATGGGACAGAAAGTCGCGAGCTTGAAACGCTTTAATCACTAGGTTATCACACTGCCTCTTTCTTTCAGTAACAAGTAGGACACACGGTATACTGCTTGTAAGTAACAACTAGCCGCACACGATACTGCCTTTAAGTAACAAATAGCCGCACACGATACTGCCTTTAAGTAACAAATAGCCACACACGATCCTGCCTTCAAGTAACAAATAGCCATACACGATCCTGCCTTTAAGTAACAAATAGCCACACACGATCCTACCTTTAAGTAAGCAATGAAAAGCACATGCTCAGCAGGAAATGCTTTCAGATACAATAAACTCCATTTCAATGCCGACGTAACCTCAATAAACTGTTGCCACACGCTCCTAATGTGTTACGATGCGTGGATATTTCTGTACACGAACGTGTCCTCAAATCATTAATCCCCACGTGATAACTGTGTCATGCATAATATAGGTTTTTTGATACTATTTATTTACTTTCATATTGATTGTACGCTTTCTAAGAATTAGCTGTTCCTTCCTTAAACCCGAAACCAAACAGAAAGTAAAACCGGAGTTCATTGCAAGGGATTAGCCACCATACATCGTGCTAGTAAATTAACGAGGAGGTATTGCTTTTTTCCACGGAACAGTACCAGCAGGTAAGATTAGTATGTGTCTAAGTCTCCATTCACCTTACTGATGTGAACAATTGCTGATGCATGAGCAGAGCTCAGGTAGTTAATGTAATTCAGCAACAAGTAGGACACACGCTATACTGCTTGTAAGTAACAACTAGCCGCACATGATACTGCCTTTAAGTAACAAATAACCGCACACGATCCTGCCTTTAAGTAACAGGTAGCCACACACGATCCTACCTTTAAGTAACAAATAGCCACACACGATACTGCCTTTAAGTAACAAATAGCCACACAGGATCATGCATTTAAGAAACAAATAGCCACACACGATCCTGCCTTTAAGTAACAAATAGTCAAACGCGATACTGCCTTTAAGTAACAAATAGCCATACACGAATCCTGCCTTTAAGTAACAAATAGCCATACACGATCCTGCCTTTAAGTAACAAATAGCCACACACGATCCTGCCTTTAAGTAACAAATAGCCACACACGATCCTACCTTTAAGTAACAAATAGCCACACGCGATCCTGCCTTTAAGTAACAAATAGCCAAACGCGATACTGCCTTTAAGTAACAAATAGTCACTACACGATCCTGCCTTTAAGTAACAACTAGCCACACACGATCCTGCCTTTAAGTAACAAATAGCCATACGCGATCCTGCCTTTAAGTAACAAATAGACACACACGATCCTACCTTTAAGTAACAAATAGCCACACGCGATCCTGCCTTTAAGTAACAAATGACCAAACGCGATACTGCCTTTAAGTAACAAATAGCCACACACGATCCTGCCTTTAAGTAACAACTAGTCACACACGATACTCCCTTTAAGTAACAAATAGCCATACGCGATCCTGCCTTTAAGTAAGAAAAAGTCACACGATCCTACCTTTGAGTAACAAATAGCCACACACGATCCTACCTTTAAGTAACACATAGCCACACACGATCCTACCTTTAAGTAACAAATAGCCATACGCGATACTGCCTTTAAGTAACAAATAGTCACATACTATCCTACCTTTAAGTAACAAACAGCCACACGCTATCCTGCCTTTAAGTAACAAATGACCAAACGCGATACTGCCTTTAAGTAACAAATAGCCACACACGATCCTGCCTTTAAGTAACAACTAGTCACACACGATACTCCCTTTAAGTAACAAATAGCCATACGCGATCCTGCCTTTAAGTAAGAAATAGTCACACGATCCTACCTTTGAGTAACCATAGCCACACACGATCCTACCTTTAAGTAACACATAGCCACACACGATCCTACCTTTAAGTAACAAATAGCCACACGCGATACTGCCTTTAAGTAACAAATCGTCACATACGATCCTGCCTTTAAGTAACAAATAGCCATACACGATCCTGCCTTTAAGTAACAAATAGCCATACACAATCCTACCATTAAGTAACAGGTAGCCACACACGATCCTACCTTTAAGTAACAAATAGCCACACGCGATCCTGCCTTTAAGTAACAAATAGCCAAACGCGATACTGCCTTTAAGTAACAAATAGTCACTCACGATCCTGCCTTTAAGTGACAACTAACCACACACGATACTGCCTTTAAGTAACAAATAGACACACACGATCCTGCCTTTAAGTAACAAATAGCCATACGCGATCCTGCCTTTAAGTAACAAATAGCCACACACGATCCTGCCTTTAAGTAACAAATAGCCACACACGATCCTGCCTTTAAGTGACAAATAGTCACACACGATCCTGCCTTTAAGTAAGAAATAGCCACACACGATCCTGCCTTTAAGTAACAACTAGCCATACGTGATCCTGCCTTTAAGTAACAAATAGTCACACACGATCCTGCCTTTAAGTAACAAATAGTCACACACGATCCTGCCTTTAAGTAACAAATAGCCATACACGATCCTGCCTTTAAGTAACAAATAGTCACATACGATCCTGCCTTTAAGTAACAAATAGCCACACACGATCCTGCCTTTAAGTAACAAATAGCCACACACGATCCTGCCTTTAAGTAAGAAATAGCCACACACGATCCTGCCTTTAAGTAACAAATAGCCATACACGATCCTGCCTTTAAGTAACAAATAGCCATACATGATCCTACCTTTAAGTAACAAATAGCCACTCACGATCCTAAATTTAAGTAACAAATAGCCACACGCTATCCTGCCTTTGAGTAACAAATAGCCATACACGATCCTGCCTTTAAGTAACAAATAGCCACACACGATCCTGCCTTTAAGTAACAAATAGCCATACACGATCCTGCCTTTAAGTAACAAATAGCCATACGCGATCCTGCCTTTAAGTAACAAATAGTCACACACGATCCTACCTTTGAGTAACAAATAGCCATACACGATCCTGCCTTTAAGTAACAAATAGCCACACACGATCCTACCTTTAAGTAACAAATAGCCAAACGCGATCCTGCCTTTAAGTAACAAATCGTCACATACGATCCTGCCTTTAAGTAACAAATAGCCACACACGATCCTGCCTTTAAGTAACAAATAGCCATACACGATCCTGCCTTTAAGTAACAAATAGCCACACACGATCCTACCTTTAAGTAACAAATAGCCACACACGATCCTGCCTTTAAGTAACAAATAGCCATACACGATCCTGCCTTTAAGTAACAAATAGCCACACACGATCCTGCCTTTAAGTAACAAATAGTCACACACGATCCTGCCTTTAAGTAACAAATAGCCATACGCGATCCTGCCTTTAAGTAACAAATAGCCATACACGATCCTGCCTTTAAGTAACAAATAGCCACACACGATCCTGCCTTTAAGTAACAAATAGCCACACACGATCCTGCCTTTAAGTAACAAATAGCCATACACGATCCTGCCTTTAAGTAACAAATAGCCACACACGATCCTGCCTTTAAGTAACAAATAGCCATACACGATCCTGCCTTTAAGTAACAAATAGCCACACACGATCCTGCCTTTAAGTAACAAATAGCCATACACGATCCTGCCTTTAAGTAACAAATAGCCACACGCGATCCTGCCTTTAAGTAACAAATAGCCACACACGATCCTGCCTTTAAGTAACAAATAGCCACACACGATCCTGCCTTTAAGTAACAAATAGCCACACACGATCCTGCCTTTAAGTAACAAATAGCCATACACGATCCTGCCTTTAAGTAACAAATAGCCATACACGATCCTGCCTTTAAGTAACAAATAGCCATACACGATCCTGCCTTTAAGTAACAAATAGCCATACACGATCCTGCCTTTAAGTAACAAATAGCCACATAGCGATCCTGCCTTTAAGTAACAAATAGCCATACACGATCCTGCCTTTAAGTAACAAATAGCCATACACGATCCTGCCTTTAAGTAACAAATAGCCATACACGATCCTGCCTTTAAGTAACAAATAGCCACACACGATCCTGCCTTTAAGTAACAAATAGCCACACACGATCCTGCCTTTAAGTAACAAATAGCCATACACGATCCTGCCTTTAAGTAACAAATAGCCATACACGATCCTGCCTTTAAGTAACAAATAGCCACACACGATCCTGCCTTTAAGTAACAAATAGCCATACACGATCCTGCCTTTAAGTAACAAATAGCCATACACGATCCTGCCTTTTTAGCCACACACGATCCTGCCTTTAAGTAACAAATAGCCATACACGATCCTGCCTTTAAGTAACAAATAGCCATACACGATCCTGCCTTTAAGTAACAAATAGCCATACACGATCCTGCCTTTAAGTAACAAATAGCCACACACGATCCTGCCTTTAAGTAACAAATAGCCATACACGATCCTGCCTTTAAGTAACAAATAGCCATACACGATCCTGCCTTTAAGTAACAAATAGCCACACACGATCCTGCCTTTAAGTAACAAATAGCCATACACGATCCTGCCTTTAAGTAACAAATAGCCATACACGATCCTGCCTTTAAGTAACAAATAGCCATACACGATCCTGCCTTTAAGTAACAAATAGCCACACACGATCCTGCCTTTAAGTAACAAATAGCCATACACGATCCTGCCTTTAAGTAACAAATAGCCATACACGATCCTGCCTTTAAGTAACAAATAGCCACACACGATCCTGCCTTTAAGTAACAAATAGCCACACACGATCCTGCCTTTAAGTAACAAATAGCCACACACGATCCTGCCTTTAAGTAACAAATAGCCATACACGATCCTGCCTTTAAGTAACAAATAGCCATACACGATCCTGCCTTTAAGTAACAAATAGCCACACGATCCTGCCTTTAAGTAACAAATAGCCATACACGATCCTGCCTTTAAGTAACAAATAGCCACACACGATCCTGCCTTTAAGTAACAAATAGCCACACGCGATCCTGCCTTTAAGTAACAAATAGCCATACACGATCCTGCCTTTAAGTAACAAATAGCCATACACGATCCTGCCTTTAAGTAACAAATAGCCACACACGATCCTGCCTTTAAGTAACAAATAGCCATACACGATCCTGCCTTTAAGTAACAAATAGCCATACACGATCCTGCCTTTAAGTAACAAATAGCCATACACGATCCTGCCTTTAAGTAACAAATAGCCATACACGATCCTGCCTTTAAGTAACAAATAGCCATACACGATCCTGCCTTTAAGTAACAAATAGCCATACACGATCCTGCCTTTAAGTAACAAATAGCCACACACGATCCTGCCTTTAAGTAACAAATAGCCATACACGATCCTGCCTTTAAGTAACAAATAGCCATACACGATCCTGCCTTTAAGTAACAAATAGCCATACACGATCCTGCCTTTAAGTAACAAATAGCCACACACGATCCTGCCTTTAAGTAACAAATAGCCATACACGATCCTGCCTTTAAGTAACAAATAGCCATACACGATCCTGCCTTTAAGTAACAAATAGCCATACACGATCCTGCCTTTAAGTAACAAATAGCCACACACGATCCTGCCTTTAAGTAACAAATAGCCATACACGATCCTGCCTTTAAGTA